TTCTGGAAGGAAGCTTGCTCTAGTGAGGGGAACACCACCCAATACTCTGCAGTTAGAGGGCAAGATAGTAACAGACCGTTAAGGTCAGCACAGATCATTGTCAAGGTGCGCACAGAAAGCCCACATCAGGTTCCAAACAGAGGCAGGCATCGGAATCCTCTGGAAGATTTAATCAGAGTGGTGAACCCAGTCCAGAGGTTCGGGGCACAGGCCTAGGGCTAGTCGCCTTGCCTAAGGATTCTCAGATGCTCCTGACATCATGGGTCCAAGGACCACACGGGGAGAACTCTAGGGAGTTCCCGTGTGTGGAGGGCTATGCTGCCGGAGCAGACTGACCATGGCCACTGCACAGGCTGTAAAAATCTTCACAGCAGTTCCCAAACTCTTGGCATCGGTCATTGCAGTGGCAAGGCTGGTGCTTGTCGTAGGCTTCCCGGCAGCGGCCCTGGCAGGAGTTTGGTGCAGCATACAGGTCTAAGAGGACAGAGAAGAGGGTGTGTGTGTGTGTGTGTGTGTGTGTGTGTATCCCTGGCAACCTCCGGAGGGTGTGCGAGGAGCCTACGGACCAATTCTTCTACCCACACCCGTAGCTGGGCTCCTTGCTAAAGGTCTTCTAGGGGCAGGGGACTAATCGCTTGCACACCCTGCAGTTAGGAAGTCCTTTGCTTTCTGATGCAGGACTCTACTCTCTGGCCTGTTGTTTTTATAATCTTCCCACCCTAAAAATAAAACCTCTTCTACTTCCCTCCCCAAGGGTTTTCCTGGTCACCCTCCTGGTCACTTGGCTGCTTGGATCACACCAGGGTCTCCTCTGGTCAGATGCAGCCTCATTCTTCTGGCTTGGGCCTGGGTCCTTGCCTCTGTTGTGGCACCCTCTCCCTTTGTCACCCTGAGTACTATCTGGAGTTCATGCTTACGGCTGACTGGGATTTCATCCTCTGGATCCAGGAATGCCTTTGGCTCAGGCGGGTCTTCTTCAGCTGTAACGTAGGAAAAGAATATCACCAACCATCCTGGGATTTCCAGCCTCACAGCAATCGTGTATGGACAAACCCCTCACCTTGAAGGCTCAGGGCTGGAAATGTGTGGTATTTCCAAGGTCAGATTACTGAAAACTTAGAGAAAACAAAACTATTTCCCCCAGGTGACAAAGGTCCTCCCATTTTGGCATTTGGGGCCCGCTGTGCTCAGAAGGACTAAAAAGCAAAGTCCATAAAAAGCGGAGGAAGAGGCGGGCGAGTCCCACCAGGACTGCAAACCAATTCAAGTTACCACATATGAATAGAGCATTTCAGCATTCTCCAAATGACAAGGCTGTCGGTTCAGAACATCCTGTTCCTATTAAGAGAGCTGGGGAGGGGAGGGACCCACGACTCCCTGGGGGTGGGCTGGGCAGGTGTTAAGTATTGTTGAAGCACTGCTAAAATCTGTTTAGAATCAGTTAATGGTAGAATATGTTCTTCTAGTTCTTACTGTAAGCACTCCTTCGGATGTTTTCCTGTAAGCCAGCGGGGGATGGGCAGTTTGACTCCCTAACTGCCAGCTCTTGGACTCTCTTGCTGTCTCAGATGCTCGGGTTAAACAGCTAGCCATTCTAGCCACGTGCCAGCTCCAGCGTGTGACAGAAACTACTTGGTGGTGGCAGCTGCTTACTCCAGATCCTGAAGCCACAGTCCCAGGCACGACCATTTCAAAGAGTTTACATCACAACTTGGTGTAATCGCCAGCGTCTGTAAACTCTAGCTGACTCTGCCACAATCGCCACCCAAGCTAGAGGCTGAGCATTTCCCCTGCAGGCCTAACTAGCTTAACTGTGGGTCCCAGCCTTGTAGGGGGTCGTATAACTGAATGTGTCATGAAGAATTTGCCAACAGTAAAACGTTTCTGAACTGGAAATGGCTGAAAATTAAACCCCCAAATCAAACATAATAAATCTGAGGTGTTTCTGGCAGGATCCAATCATGTGTCATGTGACCTCTCTGCATCTTTGGCTCTGAACATACAACACGCATTGTGCGTGTCATCACACTGCCCAAAGTCGCCAAGCACACAGGTCTGCTCTGGGGCAGGACTGCAGTATGTTGTGAATTACAATGTCCTTTGTTTGTTTGTTTTAATGTTGTGTGAAACAGGCCCTCAGGTAGCCCAGGCGGGCTCTGAACTCACTATGTAGCTGAGGATGGTCTTGAACTACTAGGCCTTCTGTTTCTACTTCCCAAGTGCTAAAGGTTACAGGCATGCACAACCGTATGTGGCTATAACAGTAAACGTTTAATATGCATACCTGTTTTATATAGCTATGTCACATAGGCATAGGCTCTCGTGCATAAAGGAGTCCCAAGCAGAGGGAGGAGGGATTGTAAGAATCTCAAAAGGACAAAGCCATGACTGGAGTAAACACCGAGCTTCGCGGCGTGGGCGGTTTGCTGTGCCTGGACACCTCTTCTCCTCTAGCTACAACATCAGGTTTTGGGAGCTGAGGAGAGACAGTCGCCCATCCCGTTGTTGTGATTAAACCCAACAAAATGTCTCTCCTGAGCATTTTCTTTTCTGCTTTCAGGAGGCTGGGCTGGGCTGAACCCAAATTAAAGAGGCAGCAACTGGACTGAAAAAAGAAGCAATCTGCAGCCGCCGCCACCACTGCAGCACCGCAGCAGTAGCCGCAGCAGCCACAGCAGCTGCCACCACCACAGCAGCAGCAACCACAGCAGCAGCAGGCAGCAACAAGAGAACAGGTAAGCTGCAGAAGTGGTGGGCAGAAGGGAATCATGGGAAATGTGCAACCCTTGAGACAGGCACTAGCTCCCGAAGATGAGGGCAGGGCCCATTGTGGATCGTGATTCCTTTGGCTGGACCATTAACACAGGATTACCTTTCCTGTGGAGCCGAAGAGCCATACATAAGGTATGTGAACTTCTCGCTGGCTAGCCAGCCCTGCCATGTGCTCAGAATTACCAGTCTTAATAAAAACAACCTCAGTTCTAAGCTAGTTCCCACCCTAAGTCTCATAGAACAGCACCAATAGGGCAACATGGCAGCCTGGCAGTATCCTTGATCCTTGGAACCCCTCCCACTTTCTATTTCTTTTCTCACTTTTCCTTAATAAATCCACATTAATTTAATTTAATAGGTCCACATTAATTTACAGTGCTGGCTCCTTCTCGGCCTTTCCTTACTCTTCTTACATGCGAAACAATGAACTAAACAAGGAGTCTATTAAAGAGTGGTTTTTCAAGGTCTGGAGAGATGGCTCAACAGTGAAGAGCAATTGGACTTCCAGGGGAAGTTAGATTTTCCCAGCACATGCGTCAGGTGGCTCTCAACTGCCATGACTCCTGCTCCAGGGGACCCGAGGCCTTCTTCAGGCCTCCCTAGCACGCGCGCGCGCGCGCGCGCGCACACACACACACACACACACACACACACACGCACGCACGCACGCACACATGTGCACATGCACACAAATAAAAATAAATATTTAAAAATGATTTGTCAAGAAGTATTCCCTTAACTGGGCCTGAGCATAAGGGTCTGTAATCCTAGCTACTTAGCAGACTGAAGTAGGAGGATCACAAGTTCAAGGTCAACTTGTGCTACATAGTGAGTTCAAAGCTTACCTTGGACACTTCTTATCCTGTCTCAGAATAAAAAGTAGAAAATGAGCTGAGAATACAATTCAGTGGGTGGGTACCTGCCTCATATATCTGAGACCTGTGATTCGATCCTAGTACAGAGGGAGAAATGCCTTTAAATGTGTATTGGTAAAGAAACAAATGACCCTTTGGGGATGGGCATTTGTCGTGGGAATTTCTTTCTGCCAACAGTTTTTGGGTACCAGCCTCAGTGGCTTCTATGTGTGGACATGATCTCTTATGAGGGAGAGGAAAGGTCTCACTCTCTTGTGTGGTGATCAGATATCCAATTGCAGCTTCCAGCTGCCCCTCAGGGCAGAGGACCACAGTGGCTCTAGTGCTCACTACCTTGTTGTTATTTGTGAATGTCCCCCAATAAATATTTCATATCCCTTTATTTCGGACTTTCATGGACTCACCCACGCTTCCAGGCATGCCTTTGTTTTTTGTTTTGTTTTGTTGCTATTTTGAGACAGGGTCTCATTATGTAGCCCTGGCTGTCCTGGAACTCCAACTCACAGAGATCCACCTGCCTCTGTCTCCTAGAGTGCTAGGAATAAAAGTGTACACCACCATGTCCCACATGGGAAGCACAGTCTAAAGCAGTGGTTGCTCGGTTCACTCCCTGGAGAAGAGTGGTCTGTGCTTTGACAGCCACAGAGGCCAAACAGTCTTCCTCATGTCATGTAGACTATGAGTGCTGCCTACCACTTAGGCGTGTGCTTTCCAGTGAGACTGATAGTGAACAATATCATATATACTAAAGTATTGTCTTATGGCTTAAACTTTCAAGACTCTGTTTTTTGGTTTTTACTTATTTGTTTTTATAAGAGATTTATTTATTTATTTATTATGTATATGATGTTCTGCCTGTATGTATGCCTGCAGGCCAGAAGAGGGCACTGGATCTCATATAGATGGTTGTGAGCCACCATGTGATTACTGGGAATTGAACTCAGGACCTCTGGAAGAGCAGCCGATGCTCAACCTCTGAGTCTTCTCTCCAGCCTCCCCCACCCCAAGATATTATTAATCCTGATTGTTCCCTCAGATCTTCCAGGTGCCCTACTTTAATTTAGGAACTTCCTAGAAAACCCGAGACTAGTGATGAGCCGACCTCTGACCCTCATGCCTGACCTTCACACTCTGCTCCTTTGCCCTGAAATCCTCCCCTCAGTTTCCAGCCTTGCTCTGGACTTCTGGACACTAGCCCAGACTTGCACACAGTCTGATCTGCCATGTGTCCCAACCCTTCATCCCACACGCTGCCTCACCAGTGCACAGATGTCCATAGTCATCACAGCAATCATCATGTTGGGGACACTGACGATCACACTGGCAGTCTGCATCCCGGTTAAATTTCTCGTTACAGCGTGACGCACATGACTCCAGGTTTCCTACGACAGTCAAGATCACCAGGTCAGTGCTTCAGGGATCCAATGCTTTCCCTAAATTGTCTCTGCAGAAGGGCTCGGGAAGGAACAAGGAAGGGCATCACTGCCTACAGGACAGCCATGTTTACAACCTCCTAGCTGCCCAGCATGACCGAGGCTCAGAGCACCAACCAGGGGCTCAGTCTCAGGTGCCTGTTAGAGGGACCAGTGACAGAAACAAGCAAAGAAGCAGTGTGTGAGAAGTAAGATTGTCACAGACTCAATAGGGAGAGCCTGACTGGAGTCCACAGTCACTTTCCAGCCGCAGGAGACGTAGCCGGAGCCTCCAGATTGCCCAAAGAAGGCTTCATTCAGGAGTGAAATTTTCTCAGATTTTAAACTTCCAGCAGGCTGAAGAAAGAGGTCAGTGACCAAGACAAGCTTCGTGGGCCTGTCCCGTGGCCGAGGGAGAGTCGCTACTGCTACAGTGGTGCCTCCTACCACTCCTGAGCCACCCCTCACTCTGTTCCTGCCCTGTTTCTATTTGTTCTCCCCTCCTTCAGCCTCTCTTCTGCACCCTGTTTCCCCGTGTCACTCTCTGCTTCTTCCAGCCTCTGGAATGCATTCTGTGCTTGGGTGGGGAATGAGGCCAATGTGGGTGAGAACTGGGCTTTGGGACAGGATTCTGTTATGCAACCACAGACCACATCCCTTGCTCCAGACAAACCGTTTACAGAAGCAAGCTTTTGGTCACAAGGGGCATATGACCAGAACTTTTGTTTTGTTTTGTTTGTTTTCTGAGGCAGGATTTCTCTGTGTAGCTCTGGCTATCCTGGAACTTGCTCTGTAGACTAGGCTGTCTTCAAACTCAGAGATCCTGCCTCTGCCTCCTAAGTGCTGGAATTAAAGGAGTGTGCTACCACGCCTGGCAATGACCAGAACTTTTGCAAAGAATAATACAAACACACTGCTTCTATGAAAGAGAAACCAGGCCCCACCACGCCCATGACAGCTAAGAGTGCAGGGTAGATGGTAGCAGAGGAGTCTTCTCACACTTGACTTAGGGGTATTTTCATGGAGGCTTCTGAGGCCTGCGTATCAGGAACACTGGGTTTCAGAGTCAGGCTGAGAACTACACAGAAGTCAGGGCCAGAGTCAGAAGCCAGGCATGTTTGTAATGCCAAGATTTGTGAGGTAGAAGCAGGAGGATCAGGTGTTCAAGGCCAGCTTTGGTAGAAAAACAAGTTCAAAGTCAACCGAGGCAACATCAAATTTTGTCTCAAAAGAAGCAAAAAAAAAAAAAAAAACAGCCACAAGAAGCCAGGCAGTGGTGGCACATGCCTTTAATTCCAGCACTGGGGAGGTAGAGACAAGCAGATCTGTGAGTTCGACGCCAGCTTGGTCTACAGAGTGAGTTCCAGGACAGCCAGGAAACCTTGTCTTGAAAAAGCAACCACAAGAGTCAGAGTTGCCATGAGCATCTGGATAGGGCCAATGAGGAAATATAACCCTAACTTAGACCAGGGCTGCTATTGGCCTTGAACTTAGAGGTACATTGAGGAGGAGCTTGCACTAAGTTGATCGATAAACAGTTTTATATTGCTATTGGGTAGGGAATGGAGTAAGATTAAACTTGATTTAGGGCTGAGCATGTACCAGCTCTAGAAAGGGAGAAATAATCTGAGTTTTGTCTCAGGTTAGATCTGGGGTTGTGATTACGTCACACCTAATGAGGGGTACATAGCAGAGCGATGCTGGACTCTGGTACCCAGCCGCCTGAGTTGGAATCCCAGCCATGATGCTTCCCAGCTGTGTGATCTTGGGCAAGTTATTTCACTTTCTATGCCTCTGTTTGCTTATCTGTAAAACTGAGAAAAAATCAGAGTCTATCTCATAGAATGTACATAAGAAGTAAATGAGTTGAGCTTGGCAAAGCGCTTCCTGTGGCGTATGACACAGAGTAGAACCACTTCAGTCTTTGTTATATAAATAAACAATGGCCACATTCCATGTCCATACCGGAGACCGCAAATATCCAGACTGGTTTCAGCAATCATCCTTGGTTAGGGAACCTGCCCACAAACGACTTGCCTGACTCCCTCCCCCAGTTCAGCTGGGCCATGCTGTGAGGAGCTGGGCTGTTAGCAGGTGTGCTTCTGGGATGTTTTACCAGCTGATGTCATTGTCACTAGGAGTCTATTTACAGCAGAGAGGTGTCAGGTCAAGGTTAAACCAGGTCCTAAGGCCATTGCCTATTGTGTGCAGGGCCTCTAACACATCCAAGAAGGCAGGGTATTAGTCCAGTAGATTGTCCTAAAGAAGGCCAAGCCCAAGGCCACTTTTCCATCTGAGCACACAGGGAACCCTTCATGAATCTTAAGTCATCTCACTTGGCACCTAAATGCTAAGGTCTTGAGAAAAAGTGTTTAGCTCAGGAGGAAGCTGCTTGCCCCACCAGCCTGGCAGAACACCCAGAGTCCAGAGGGAGAGAAAGTAAGTGAGTGGGGGCCTTGCTCTTAATGGGGCCACTGAGACAGAGTCCAAGGATGAAATTCACTGTTCTAGGGCTGGCAGGAACAGAGAGAGAGAGAGAGAGAGAGAGAGAGAGAATAGTTGGCTGTGGAGCTCAGGAGAGCACTCCCCCCTGGCCCCTGCTGTGTGGATTTGTCATCTACTTCAGAGCTTTGTCCCCAGTAAGAACTCGATGCCACCAGGTCTCACATTCCTCTGTGAGTGTCTTTTGCTTCAGGGTAACCTTGGGACATGGGGGTGGCTGGCATGGTGTTTTTTCTACAGGAACCTCACTGTGCTGTCCTGGGGACACTAGATGACTCCTCGTTCTGACTCCGGGTCCCCACCCTTTAACAAAAAGTCTTTGTATATAAGTCTTGCTCACCAAGCTAGGGCCTGTGTCACTACTCCAGCAGGCTCTGCCCCTTGCTTCTCTGCCCAATCTCTCCTTCTTCTCTGCCTTAATTCATTTTACCTTGTCTCTCAGCCTCAGATTTTCCTACTTCTCCTCATTTGGAATTCTGATTCCTTCCCCTGTAAAAAGCTAGGTTTCTCTGCATCTTCAAAGACCATAGCCTGATACAACCTTCATACTCTTTCCCCACTGACCATTAAAAAGCTTAGCACCAAGCCTGGATGGATACAGGATCCCTGTATGTCAGCCCTCAGGCCCTTCGACAACTGAAACATCCTCACACATTTTCTCTCAGGGAAGCCCAGATGTTATCTCCATGGAAACCTAGTGAGCCAAAAACCTTCATCTCCAAGACCAGCTTCCTGATCTGTTCACCTGAAACAGCCAAGGCCTTGGAAGGCATCTGGCTGATAGGCCATGACCTGTGCCCCCATCATTCCTGGTGTGGCTCATACTTGGGTACCCAAGTCTGAAAATGCTGGATGCTAGGACAGAACTAACAGGAGTGTTGTTTTTTAACAAAATTTCAATCATTCAATTTTTATCAATAAAGACTCGGCAGTCAGATGTTGGAGTGAAAGCCTGCTAGCTCGTAGAAGCAGATAAACCACCGGCTGACCTTCCTCCTCCGCCAACATGCCAGAAGCCTTCCATTTTCTTCTATTTCATCTCAAACAAAACTTCTTACACTGAACTGGCTAGCAGGTCTTTATTGATAAAAACAAACGATTGAGATTTTGGTTAAAACAACACAGGAGCAGAGACTCGCCCCTACCTTCTGGTGTCTCTCCACTGTACCTTCTCTTCCCATCTGTCTACAGCAGAGGCTAACCATTGTTTTTACCCAAAGCAGTCCGGAGCTACCTACACCTCTGAAACCGCTAAAGCCGTGCCCTCAGGGACCTCCTGCAAGGACCAGATGTCTCCTGTGCCATCTTCTCCTGATCACCCTTCCACACTGGTGAGTCCCACACGCCCTCCTTCACCCCTACGATGACCAGACCTGAGGTAAGGTCCCGTGCCCACCTACCCTTCCCTCTCCTTCTCTCCCTCTCCGGCCCCAGGACCCAGGCAGAGCGGAATCCTCAAAGAGGAGCCTGCAGTGTCATGGGAACAGCTTTTCTCATCCATGGCCTTTCTGTTTAGGAATCACATTTAGGGTCCCCCTGTGCACACCCAGATGGGGAATGACACCAAAAGTCAGCTCCTCCTGGAAATATTCATGCTAAAACCCTGACAAGTTCCAAGGGCCCGAGCCCTTTCTCGCAAGCTTGCTCGGGCCTCCTGCTCTGATCCTGTAGATAGTCTGCGGCAGGAACACCCTGGGAGGGTGGAACTGCAGGAACTCTGACTCTCCTGGGGCAGAGGAGGATGCTGCCCACACCCCTCAGCTCAGCCCCCTCCCTTGCTCTCCTCCTTACCACCCACTAATCACTAATTAACACAGCAGCAACAGCTCTTTGCACAGTTACGGAACAGGAAAGCGCTCCTTTCCTTTTCCAGCGCCCGCCTCCTTTCCCGCACTACCTGCGCGTGCAGGGCACATCCCTTCTCTTTACTATTTAGCTCCCCTAACCGGGAGGGGGGACCCTAGTCCTCTAATCATTTGTGTAGTCCCAAGTGGGACAGGCCTCACTGCTGAGTCAGGGACTCAAGTTTCCTCCCGAGACCACCCATCTTCTAAGGCTCACCTATCACCAGGCTGCAGAGGAGGGAGTGACCCTAGACAACCAGGCAACCCCAACTCAGCAACCTCCTTCCCTTTTACACCATGCAGTGGCCGTGGGAAAATAAAACCTGGGCCAAGTATGAAGTCTGGTTATCCCAGTGATGGTAGAGGTGGTCCCCGAAGGCTTCAGCTCTGCAGTTCCTCCACATCACCAGCCGACTTCAGAGACACAGATCCCAGAACCTCAACCCAGGACAAGTCAAAGTGGTCCAACGAGTTAGGACAGCATTTAACCTCTGTCAAGTGCCCAGGGCTGGCTCCCATGCCCACCAGAGTATGACTTACCAGCCCAGGCCAAACCACAGAGCATGGCCACTATCAGGGAGACGCAGGCCTTCATGATGCCAGCTGCGGCAGACTGATCGCTGGACTTCCCACTACAATCAAGGTGAATGTCACAGTCCTCAGATGAGCCTTAGTCCCCAGGCAGATCCTTTTAAAGACACCAGGACTTGTGGATCTGGTGTGTCTAGATCCTTCCAGGAAGGAAAAGGGGAGGGAATGGATCACAGATGGACGGGAGGTAGAAAGGTGGGGCCCCACAGCTGTTTGAAGCCAGAGAGAAGGTGACTAAGCAGACAGGTCACGTCAGATGTTTAAAACAGGTAATGCTGGCTATCTGTAGCTAGAAAATAGGCCACACTAGCAGACGCAGCAAGTTGAGCCTAGTTTGGCAGGTTCTTTACTCAAGTTAGGGACACTGATGTGCTTATCTTCAGGTGACCTATACCCACCTACCCACAGTCACAGACATGGCGCGCCTGGAACTGCAAGTCTAGACCCAAGCTGGGATTCAAGGGACTACTGCGGTCACATAGTTTCATTTCACATACATGTAGAAACCCCTTCCATGATGCCAAGTGCTTGTTGAACTTACACTTGAATGCCTTCACCCCTGCAAGGTTGGGGCACATCCTCTTTGGACAGCTCACCTCCTCTCACAGATCTCATTCCCAACCCTTAGGACTTTTATGACCTAAGATGTGCTGGTAGAGATAAAAATCGATAAGGAATATTGGGGGTGGGATATCAAGTCCCTAGGGGAGCATTCATCAACCCATTCACGACTAGTGGAGGAACTTAGATTCGGTGCTGGCTAGTTTTTATGTCAACTTGACACAAGCTGAGGTCACCTGGGAAGAAGGAATCTTAATTAAGAAAATGTCATTCTAGGATTGGCCTGTAGGCGAGTCTGTAGGGCATTTTTCTTGGTTGATGTTTGAGGTGGGAGGGTCCTGCCCACTGTGGGCAGTGCCACACTTGGGAAAGTGGTCCTAGGTTGTATAAGAAAGCCGGCTGAAGCTGGGTGGTGGTAGCTCATGCCTTTAATCCCAGCACTCAGGAGGCAGAGACAGGTGAATCTCTATAAGTTCAAGGCCAGCCTGGTCTATAAAGCAAGTTCCAGGTCAGGCTCTAAAGCTACAGAGAAACCCTGTCTTGAAAGAAAAGAAAGGAAGGAAGGAAGGAAGGAAGGAAGGAAGGAAGAAGGAAGGAAAGAAGCAAGGAAGGAAACAGACTGAAAAAGTCATGGAGAGCAAGCCAGTGAGCAGTGTTCCTCCATGGCTTCTGCTTCAGTTCCTACCTTCAGGTTCCTACTTGAGTTTCTGTTCTGACTTCCCTCAAAGATGAAACCTGATAATCTTAAATTAAATAAACCCTTCCCTCTTCAAGTTGCTTTTGGTTGTGGTGTTTTATCATAGCAATGAAAACCCTAACTAATCATATACAAGTACGCAGTAAAAGCAGAACGTGTCTCCAACACTTTATCTGCTGGCCCATCTAGACATGAACCCCAGTGTTTTTGGCTCTCCTTCAAATCGATGTTAATGTAGGCTTCCATCTTGACGAGTTCTTTCCAGGGAGCTCTCATGGAAACTTCAGAAGACTGGGATCCAAGCAGGGAAGGACCGCAGGAAGACGCACAATGAAGGGTGATGGGAAAAGGGGGCAGACAGAGATGCTGAAGTCGGAGGTGGCAGACTGTGGCCTTTGTGGTGATGTGGAAGAGGAGGAAGAGGCTGAGTCTGCTAGGTCCAGCGCCAGGGGCCAGCTAGCAGTAGGGATGTGGGAAGTGGGTGTTCTGCCAAGTGATTTTTTTATTTTATATTTATTTTATCTTATATGCATTGGTGGTTTGCTATGAATGTTGGGTCCCCTGGAACTGGAGTTACAAACAGTTGTGAGCTGCCATGTGGATGCTGGGAATTGACCCTCTGTTCTCTGGAAGAGCAGTCAGTGCTCTTAACCACAGAGCCATCTCTCCAGCCCCATGTATTTATTGAGCTGCCATTTTATGCTAAGAGCTATGTTGTAACTGGGTTTAGGCCTTAGAAAATTTTGTATCATCCATCGATCTATCTATCTATCTATCTATCTATCTATCTATCTATCTATCTCTGTCTCTCTCTGACTCTGTTTCTCTTTCTGTGTATGTTTTTATGTATGAATGCTAGCACATGCATGCCACAGTACACGAGTAGGCAGAGGACAACTTGGGAGTTGGTTCTTGTCTAAGACAAGATCTCTATAGTTTCCCACTGTGTTCGCCAAGATGACCAGTCCATGAGCTTCCAGGGATTTCCCGTCTGCACCACCTCCCAATATCCTCAGAGGAGTTCTGGAACTGCAAACTCAGGTACTATGCTTGGCCTTTACATGCATTCTGGGGATCTGAACTAAGGTTCTCATGTTTCCACAGCAAGCCATCCCCCAAGTCCATGGGCTCGGGCCTTCCTGAAACTATTGATTTGTGCTGGTACAGAGGACACAGGATCTCAGAAGTAGTTCCCTCGTCATTGGATTCATTGAGCTACCACTGGGAGCCACAGCCTGCCAGGATCAGAGAGCTGAGAGAGACTGGCTCCAGGAATATAAATGAGATACATGCACCTAGGCCTGCCTACTCCACCATGTTGGTCTTGTGAAACCAAGACCAAATAATGTCAACAGGGAGCAGAGCCTGAAAGAACTTTCAGCTGGCCCAGCTCCCGGAAATCTGGATTATATTTTTAAGGACACTCCAGATTCAGCTTCCAAAGGGATCCAAATACCTAAAGATGCTGGCTGTCTAAGCTGCAGCCCGAGGAGTGCCCTGGCCCTAGAGGAACTTCCAGCACAGCCATCCACATCTGGTCTCACCATGGCTCACAACTGGGCACATGTGGTTTCTCTCCTACAGCAGTTTAAATGTTACACAGCACACTCGGCTTCCCACTTTTCCCTTTGAAGTTTGGGGGCAGCCTGACTTTCCGCAGCAGGCTTATTGCCTGGGCACACACATCTCAGAGTCCTGGGCTGTGCATGCGGTTCAACCAACCACACCCACGACTGACCTCTGCCTAAAACGCCCTCTGCTCACTGGCTGTTCATCTACCACTCATCCTCCAGTCTCCAGGAACCCTCCCGCCACAGACTCTGTCCCAGATACCATCCCTTGCCTTTGACACACCCTAGTCCCCTCTTCCAGGTACCAGTTAACCTCTGCAGTACCACTTAACCCTTTACCCACCCAACTGTTTCTGTAGCTCATCTCCGAAAGTCCTTCAGGTGGGAATCCCGTGTCTCCTAGGATGTTGTATTAGAGAACTGTCAATATGTGTCAGGAATTAACATAAGAACGCCGGAGGGGACTGGGCCACCTTCCACCTTGACCCTTGTCACTAAGGACTTGAGGGAAGACTCTGGTAAAACAGAGGCAGCAGATGGATTGTTCTGTGCCATGAATTCGACAAAGTTTGTCCTGGAAGGGATTAGGTGGAAGTGGGGTCCAGGGATCCATGCTGAGGTTGTATTTTTTTTTATAAAAGAAAGAACTGGGGTTTTTTGCTACTGTGTGTACATTTGTGTCTTTGTTTGTTTTTGACACAGAGTCTCTTGTAGCCCAGGCTGACCTTGCACTCACTATGAAGTCAAAGGTGACCTTGAATACCTGATCTCCCATCTCCCAAGTGCTGGGTTATATGCCAGGTGAGAGCCTCCTGGCATATGTATTTATGACCAATGGAAACTGTGGGTGGGATCTAAACTCTCAAGCACCCACACACACACTGCCCCCCCCCCCCCCCGTGCGATGGCTGGGTTGTGATGTGTCTCTCGAGGGCTTGTGGTTTGGAGGTTTCTTCCAGGTGTGTTGATGGGGAGGTGGGGGGCCTTTGAGAGGTAGAGCATGGGAGGTCACTGGGATGATGTCAGCTGTCAGCAGAAGGGACTAGGGAGTTCCCAGAGGACCCCCACAATTATTCTCCCTAGGGGGCTGTGATGCAGAAGGCAAACGCGGCCTTCCCTCCTCGTCTAGAGCACAGGTATCTGGTTCCTACAAGCACTTCCTTATGATGCCATATGTCACCGGGTCCTCCCCAAAGACTGAAACAACGGAACCACTCCATCTTGCACGTCTAGCCTCCATAGCATGCCTAAAATCCCAGTACTCTGGAGGGTGAGGCAAGAAAATATACGTATCAAGATGAATGTTTGTTAAACGATTCATAGCAAAACCAAAAATGACAGCAAAAAAGAAAATTTCCACTTCTTTTCTTTATAAATATATCCATTGTCCAGCGCTTTGCTGGAGCAGCATCAAACCAACACACCACCAGGGCATTAGTTTTGGCACTACGACTTCAAGGAGTGGTCAACACAGGGATAGAAAGAACCCAGGATTCTATAGGCTTCTAAGTTTATGACATAGCTTCGTATTCTTTTGGGTTCCAGAGTAATGACTTGCGTACCTGAAACACTTGCAGAATGGTAGGCAACTGTGCCAATGTTTTTTTTTCTGCTCCTCAACAGTGATGATGAAGTAAAATTATTATTGCAGGCTCCACCCGCTTTGAAAAGCACCTAGGCTCAGCAACACACAAAGACGTGGATGGGCCTGGCAGACAGAGATAAGGAGCCTCCAGGAGCCAGCAGGGCTGTGAGCAAAGGTGAGACAAAGAGAGAAACAGACTTGCCCTAGGCTGACCAGGAGCCAGGTGCTGGCAGGAGGCACCTTACCAGCTTCTTGCCCCAGGTGTGTTGGCACAGTAGACCTGCTCTGGCTTCTTAAGGATGGTGACGGTACACAGGACTGGCAGGAGCAGTTCCTGACCCACACATGAAGACTCACTCTGTTAAAATGACCCTGATTATTGTGCTAGGGAGTCAGGTTATGAGGAATCTCGCCTCTCTCATGGATTCATTCATTCATTCATGCTCCTCGCAGATGGTAAGAATAAAGTGTCACTGTGCCAGACGTGACAGCATAGCAGCTATAAAGTGAGCTAGCTGGCATCTGAGAGACGGAGGACACTGGGAAATCACATCTGAAGCTCTGGTTTGGGCCACTGGGGCACAGTGCAAGGACACTGGTCCCGAAGCTGAAACACCTCTGTAACCCAGCTCTACCGCCTTTCGCCGCCTTGTCCAACCCTGCGCAGCTTTCCTGATCTTCCCGTCCTCAGTTTCCCTTACAGATGCAAAATAAAGGAATCAAGAGACCCTGGCAAGGGTGACATAAGGACAGAGGAACTTCATACTTGAACCTGTAGAACAGTGCCTCGTGTGTAACAAAACTAGGTTAGCTAAAATTAAAGAATAAAATAGGGGCCAGGGATGTAGCTCGGTAGGCACATGAGTCCTAGAGCCCGCCCTAAGCACTTCATAAGCTGAGTGCCTGTGAGCCCAGCACTCTGGAGGCAGCCGCAGGAGAATCAGTAGTTCTTAGTGGAAGTGAGAGGGGAACAAGACCAGGAAATGGGGGTGATTATGATTTAAAAAAAAAACATTTCATATATATGAATAAAAATGCCACAATGAAACCAATTGTGTATAATTAATGTATGCTAAGAAAAATGTAAAAAAAAAAAAAGTGCTTAGTGATCTTGCAAAGGACCTTGGCTTGGTTCAGGGTCCTCACAACTGTCCCTGACTCACCCCAGTTCCAGGGGATCTGATGCCCTCTTCTGACCTCCATGAGTTCCTCTGGGCATAAAACTCACACAAGTGGATGTATATACAAATAATAAATACACAAAAAAATCAATCCTTAAAAGAAATTTGAAATCATCCTCAGCTATGTATCAAGTTCAAGGCCAGTCTAGAATATATGAGACCTAGTCTCAAGAGAGGAGGCTCAATTTAGACAGGATGACTAGAGAAAACCTCTTTTTGAGAGAGGTAGAGATAGATAGATAGATAGATAGACAGACAGACAGACAGACAGAAGATGGATGGATGGATGGATGGATGGATAGATAGATAGGAGAGAGATTTAAAATAGAGATATAAAGCATGATATGTATTAAAAATAAATGTAAATTTTAAATGTAAAACAAGGACCCTCCATATTTGGTGTTCGGGTTCAGTGGCCCTTCAGTGAGTCACACTGCCTAACTCTCCTGGTTAGAGCCTTCCTTCTGACTTCTGAGGTGCAGCCCACAGCCATTGCTTACTCCTTGGAAGTCCAATGTTCCTAACACCGCTGTGGCAGCACTGACTGTTCTCACCTGCAGCTGCTTGGTGTGAAGACAGGACACAAGAGGCCTTTCCACCCACGGGCTCTCCGTGCAGGATGCTGGGTGTGTCTCAGGTCTTCCTGGCAAAGTCAGGTGAGACTGGCTCTGCCTTGCCCCACCCCCACCCCATCCTGTTAGTCCCCAGAGCTGCTGAAGCACTCCATCTCTCCAAGTCACACCCTGGGCCTTGCCCCAGGACCCTCTACTGCTATTGCCTAGGAGCAACTCTGTTTGTCCCCCAGTGACCACTAGAAATATTCATTAGAATGTTCCTAGGCCAAATATCTACATAATAAGTCTTTCTCTAGACAACCCGATCAAAGAGTAGAAAAGCAAGCAGGCAGTCATCCACCCCTGCACACAGGCAGACTCGGAGACCTGCCCACTAATGCAGGCTTTGGGGAATGACAGTACCTAAGAGGTAGCAAAGGGTGAGGGTTCTTTAAACACTATATCTTGCAGGAGACAAAAGATACTTTGCTTATCAACTGCATCACTTTTAAGTTAGCAGATCATGTAAGAATGTGAGGCTGGGGGCTGGAGAGATGGCTCAGAGGTTAAGAGCACTGACGGCTCTTCCAGAGGACATGAGTTCAATTCCCAGAAACCACATGGTGGCTCACTGCCATCTATAATGAGATCTAATACCCTCTTCTGGTGTGTAAACAAACATGCAGACAGGACACTGTATACATAATAAATACATTTTTAAAAACTGCCTTGGCTTTAAAAAAAAAAAAACGAATGTGAGGCTGAGCTCTGGTTTCTCAGAGAAAGGTGCAGGATCCCTTTCTGGGAACAAAAACCCAGCAGGGCTCTTACTCAGAGTGCTCACAAGCTTGATGTGGGGCTATGCACGCTTCTGTACAAGTATACTGTTTTCTCTTTGCCAAGTACTTTGAATTATGTGGTCACTGTTCTGAGACCCCCCCCCCCCCAACAACCCATTTCTACCAACTGATCTGAGGGCCACACTGGCCCGTCTCCATCTTTACAGCAACCAGAATCCTTAGCACCCGGCACACCATGCTATCTTCCCGCTTCCAGGGTCCCAAAGCCCCACACTCTGTGTTCCCTCCACCCTTCTGCCCTATCAAGGCTCCTGCAAGGAAGTCCCCTCAGGCATGGGAGAGAAAGTGCTCCTGAGCAGCTGAGCCAGTGTGGCTTCCCACCACAGTCCAGCTTCATCACCAGTACAAGGGACACAACCACCTGCCCTGGGTTGCAAGCCCTTCAGCTTCAGGTGCCACCAAACTAGGCCAGGGAGGAACTACCATTCACGGGGAGGGTCCAGGATCTGAAAGAGGGATCCCCAAATCAACTGGCCTATAGACAGGTCTGGTTGAACAAGCCCACAGTCCCAGCAAACGAGACCAACTCTTTGTCTATGGGGCAGAGCTTTAAAATACATATGTGCTTTCAGGTCTGTGGACGTGTGGAAGACGGGACTTGTGAACAAGATCAGAGCTGGCACCAGCCACCGACAGCCACACCTGTCTGAAATTCAGGCAGATCCCACTAGTGGTGAACTGGGAGCATCTTCGACAAGAAGCAGGGCTCTGCAGGCTGATGGGGGAGGGTTTCCATGCAAGAGCAGTTCTGGGCCTCAGATCTTCTGGTGGGCAAGAGGTGAACTAGGCAGTATAGGGCTTTTATTACCCTCTAAGTTCCTCTTCTGATAGGTGTGGGGAACCAATCTGCGAAGGCAAGGGCAACTGACCCCACTTACAGGCCCCCACTGCAGCCTTGAAAACCAGATCCTAGCAACAGAGACTGGGAGAAAGGGCTCTACATCTGGGCTACTCCTACAGAAGACAATGGAATCCAGGGAGGTGACACTGGACACGCCGGGGACATGGCTGATACTTATGCAGTTACTTGCCGCAGCCACCCTGTCATTAAGCCGTTAGGTGACCTTAGGCAAATCTCTCCGTGCCTCAGTTCCTCTGACTATGAAACAAGGTTTAAAAAAAAATAACCTGTAGTTCCTATTCTGTCATCAGGATAAAAATAAGACCGTAGATGTGAAAGTGTGATGGAGAGAGGCCAGAGGCACTATTCAAATCTCAGACTATTATTACCCTGACAAATCTTACCGACAGCAGCAGCGACATCAAAATGTCTAATTTTTGCTACCTGGGAAGCAGAGTGAGTGTTCTTCAGTTCAGGACTGCTGGGGACACAGAGCCAACAAACCTGTGGAAGCAGGCCCGTTCCCACCCAGCCGAATTCTGAGCTGGCTCACAGGTTTGTGCCAATCTTCCTGTGATGGGCAATAAGGCTTGAAGGATGAGGAGGGCTGGCTCCAACCCCTCTGCCCTCTCACCAGGCACTGTGCACAGCTAGAGAAGCATAACCTCCCCTGGTGAAGTACAAGCCTGGCCTGGCCCATGGCTGTAGCCCTTACAGGGAACCATATGGGAGACAGGGAAGGCCACAGGCATGCGCAATGACCACTCATGCTGTTTTCCCTCACAAGAAACACAGACACAGAGACACACACACCTCTGTTCTACCTCTTTAGGTAACAAGTTTTTTTGAAGGCCCCCTCCCTGTTCAGTCTCTCTTAAGCAGCCTGTGATCTTCCCCTCCTATTTTGGCCTCAGGTGCCTCCACCACCCACGGATACACACAGTCTGGGAAGCCAGGGAGCAGGAGCAGCTTCCCACCCTCTGCCTGAACATCAGGAGACGGCCACCAGGAGCCTGGACTCTTCCTCAGTCCCCTGTGCCCTAGGCGGTGACCTGGCTCATACATCCACTCCCAAGTCTGTGTCCCCTGTGTGTCCAGGGCATTATTCTCCTGTCAGAATCTTTCCCAGCAGGGTCAAAGAGGTCCAGACTGAGGTAGATTGGCTGGAAGCTGCAGCTTGTCTCAGTTGGAAGGCCCATATGGAGCCCAGGATGTTGGAGCCCAGAAGGTAAGTATGACCAGGGAGAAGAAATAAAAGCAGGTGAAGGAGGCTGGGTTGGTTTCACCCTGCAGTCTGTGGAGATGGCAAAGGGCTGAGACTGACTGGCACGGTCTCCACCGAAGACACTGACAATGGGCTTAGGAGACAAGAAAGCTTCAGGGACTCCTGACTCACGGAGGCTTGGGCTCCGATCACGATTGCTCAGCTCAGGATGCTGCCCTCAGATTCTCCCTTCCTGCCCATGGGCAACAGAACTGGTTTGGTCATCCCAGCAGTTGGTTCTAACCCGAGAGCTGTCTTGGATTCCACTCCCGGAGATGCGGCTTGTCCCCCAGGTCACAGACACAGAACTGTGACAGTCACTCTGGAGGAGGCGAGACCTTCTGCCTTGTCACTGGTGACTCTATCATGCCCACCTTACAGCTGGGCAAATGAAGGCAAAGAATGCACTGGTGTGCTCAGGCTCATTAGACCTGGGGGTGATGTCCCTGCGCTGTCTGTCTCCCTGCCAACAGCTTGGACCTCTCCTGGGATCAGCTGACATAGCCTCTGTGGCCTCCGGCTGTGAAGAGTCTGGCAGAGTGTGGAGACCAGGGGGAGGCGGAGTATGTCAAGTCTGAGCTGGCTGCTACACCACAGGAGGAGCACCGGGCTGCCCTAGCTGCCTCCGGCCCTTCTTCTGTAAGCACACCTCCTCCAGATGCCTGAGAGTCCTGGCTGCCCTGGAGTTTACTCAGGGTCATGGTGGAGGCTGTGGGGTTTCTTTCAGGTTGGCCTAGCGCTTCCAGGCTCCCAACAAAGAGAGCAGAGAGGGCAGCATCGTAGAATGGAGTTTCCAGGCATGAAACTTTGCCTAGACAGGTGCGGTTATGTTTTCACGTCTTCTGCCTATGTCTCTTCCCTCACCCCTGTGCTCAGCACACACAGCACCCAACAGGATCAAGGGCAGATGAGGGAGCAGAGCCGGGAAGAAGGAGGTAGAGGATGCTAGCTGCATCTGGACTTTTATAGTCTTTTTTGGCAGAGAGCTGATGATCCCCAGAGTGCCCAGGACAGCACCGTAGCCCATTTGGGTAACAGTTGGCTTTCCTGGAGCCCAGCCTGAGGTGGTGGGGCTGCTTTCTGTACCCAGGGAACAAATTCCTCCTCCACCGGCTTTCCCTGTCATATGCCCAGGCCACAGAACACACATTATCTTTGTTAATTTATGGGAACAAGGCTGCTCCACAGGGACCACCACTCTAGGCCACAGCCCTGCCTACACCCAGCCGTTTTTCTCAGTGGAGAGAAAAGCCAAACTCCCCCACCCAGAGCACACGCGCGCTGCAGATGTGAGCTCTCTGACCCCCGTGAAACACAAGCGCGGGGCCTGGCGACCACGGGGCGGCACAGCTGTATGTACAGATGGCATAAAAAGCCTGGTGGGAGAGCTCTCTATTGTACCTTGGAGTCCTTGCACCTCCCAGCCCCCCTGCCCACTCCAGGGCCTTCATGTCCCCTTTTCCTTGGCCTTATGGCCAGCTCAGTTCCACATCAAAGATCTCCTTAGCTGACAGTCCTCACAGGGGCCAGCTGCCTCTAGACTGCCCACTCCAGGGCCTTCAGTCCGCTCCACGGAGAGCCCTGCCCAGCTGTGGCTGGCCTCTGGACCTCTCGGGGCCCCACAGGCTCTGGCTTTCTCTGAGAGAAGTGCCTGCTCCGTCCAGTCCCTCCTCATGGCTCCAGCTCCCGGGAGAGGCGGGACAGTTCCCGCTGGTTGTCAATGACCTTCAGTTGCTGGACGTAAGCCCAGGTGCTGGCTGGACTCCGGGTGCTCAGGGACTGCTCAGAGCCTGGGGGAAAGGAGAGCCATCAGGGGGGCACCATCGCCACCTTGCCAAACCCACTGCTGCCCTCTCCAGGGAGCAGCCTCAGCTCTGGGGCTTCCATTCCCAACCCTGCATCCTCTTAACACTAGTCCCCACCACCACCATTGGATTCCAAGGACATGGTACCCGTTCTCTAGTTCAAAGGGAACTAAAACAGGTTGAATGTGATGGTACATGTTTATAATCCCGAGCCTCAGAAGCTGAGGCAGGAGGATGGACAGTTCCAGGCCCTGTTTCAAAAAGATAAGAAAAAAAATGGCCACGAATAGTGGTGTGTGCCTTTACTCCAGAACTAGGAGGTAGAGGCAAGCGGATCTTTATGAGTTTGAAGCCAACCTGGGCTACATAGCAAGTTCTAGGCCAGCAAAGGCTTTGGCTCAAAAAGGTCAAGAAAACAAAAACAAACCAACCAAAGGTTGGATGGCTAGCTCAAGGTATGAACTGTTTGTCTTGCAAGCATGAAGACCTGAGTCCAAACCTCAGAACCGGCAAGAGTCTTTGATCCCCATGCTGGTGAGGTAGAAGGAAGCAGATCTCTGCGGCCAGTTAGCCAGCCGAGACTACTTGGTAAATCCCAGGTCAGTGAGAGAGCTTGTCTCACAAAAAGGAGAGGGTGGGTACCTGAGGAACAACCCCCAAGGCTCTGACTACTGCATACGTCTGTACACATATACATGTGCATATGTTCACACATACATAAATAGAATAAAACCTGAACAAAGTTTACTGTAATATTATGAAGCATGTGGGTGTGAGATAAAGCTATTTAAAAAAACAAAAGCACAGGTTATGGCACAAACTTGGAATCCTAGCCTGGGCTACAGGATAAGACTGTCTCAAATATCTATCGATCGATCAACAAACAAAATACAAAATACAAGACAGAGAGAGTAATTCCAAATTCACCAGAGTGGCAGCTGTGGGGGGAGAGGGAGTAGACAGTGGAGAACCAAGCTGTCATCTGTGTTCTACCTGGACTCAATTTATTATCAGCAGAAGCATCTGTGAACACGGGATGGGCATCGTGATACGAACCGTATGCTATAACTATTCTTTAACCACATACAACGCATATCAGATAAATACACAGGCCGGAGGTAGCACCTGTCCCATACAGTGCCAATGGACTGTACAAAAGCACCCGGCTCCATCCCTGGCTATGCCAACTACTGCCTGTACCCCTGCCCCATCACTTACATGTGGAAATCCTTGATGCCTGGCTGTCCTCGTGGATGTGGGAAACTCGGCTTCTGAGTGGTGACAGAGGCACTAGGTAGGGTGGAAGGGGCGAGTCAGGGAGAGAGCCATGCTGAGCCTGAGCCTCCCTGGGCACCGAGGGACCACTTCTTACCCGTGCTGTGGCTCCGGCAGTGGTGGAGCATCCGCATGGCTCTGGCCATCATTCGCTGTGGGTGACACAAAGACATGAGATCTGCCTGTGAGCCCAGAGCGTGGCCTGCATATGGGAAGCTGGGAGTCAAGTCCCCTTTAAACCACGTTCCTAGGGACAAGGGGTCTATAAAAGACAGGGTGAAGGCTGCTTCAACCCAGCATACCAGATGCTCAAAAGCAACAAGGCAGCAGCTGGAAGACAGGGAAGTAGCTGGTGATTAGGGAAGGCTAAGAGATAAGGGTTAGAAGGGACTCTCACTGAAGAGTGATGTTTAGGGCTGTCATCCCAGTAGTTCCAATAGGAAGGCAAGCCCTCCCTCCCATGTGCAGTAGAATAAGGGAGGAGTGATTTAATAATGAATATTCTCTCATCTAAGAAAAACAGCCTACAATTCACAATCCCAGAGAACCTAGACAATAATGAGGACCCTAAGAAAGACATACATGGATCTAAACTACATGGGAATGTAGAAAAAGACAAGATCTCCTGAGTACATTAGCAGCATGGGGACCATGGGAGAGGGTAGAAGGGAAGGGGAGCAGAGAAATATGTATAGCTCAATAAAATCAATTTTAAAAAGTTAAAAAATAAATATTCTGTTCTAATTTATTTTTTTGAGACAGGAGTTTCTCTGTGTAACAATCTTGGCTGTCCTGGAACTCTCTTGGTAGACCAAGCTGGTCTTGAACTCATGGAGATCTGCCTGCCTCTGCCTTCCAAATGCTGGGATTAAAGGTGTGCACCACCACCGCCTGGCAAAGATTTATTATGTATACAGTGTTCTGTCTGCATGCATGCCTACACACCAAAAGAAGGCACCAAATCACATTCTAGATGTTTGTGAGCCACCATGTGGTTGCTGAGAATTGAACTCAGGACCTTTGGAAGAGCAGCCAGTGCTCTTAACCGCTGAGCTATCTCTCTGGCTCCTTTAATTTTTCTTGAAACAAGGTCTCTCAATAGCCCAGGCTATTCTTAAACAGAATCCTCCTGCCTCAGCCTCTTATGTACTCGGATCACTTGCAAGCACACCAGGGTTCAGACTCTATCAGCTGACCCCTAACCCGACCCTTCTTGGGCAGCTGTCATACTGCCAACCTGTACCGGAAGTGGAAGCCCATTTTCTTCGCACTCACCATCTTCTCAAAGTTGATGAGGTTCTCTACGAGCGTGTGGTTTCCCTCATGGATGAAGGTCATGTCTGCAAAGGGATTTATTTTTTTGAGACAGGATTTCTCTGTGTAACAATCTTGGCTGTCCTGGAACTCTCTTGGTAGATCAGGCTGGTCTTGAACTCATGGAGATCTGCCTGCCTCTGCCTCCCAAATGCTGGAGGTTCCCCCAGGAAAGGTGAGGGGCCAACCACAGGGATCACAGGGATCACAGGGCCTGTCCCACCCACATCCTTGGCCTCCAGCAATCTCCACGTCATCCCAATGCACTGACATCTCTTGGGATTTCAACCACAGCTCTCGGTACAGCCCTGCTATGCTCCTGTCCTACCTCCTAACTAGCTTGGTGCTCCCTGTATACCAGCCCCTCAGCTGTCAGAATGTTTCCGGGATGGAAGCAGAGAAGAGAGCACAGGTCCTACCTTTGAGTAGCAGGGGCATGAAGGGGATGACAGGAGGGGAGAGCTTGGTGAGTGCCAACCGATACACTCGGTGGTTCCACGATGGGTCCTGTGAGGAGAAAAAGCTTCCCTGAGGGAGTCCTGCACACGAGGGCCTACCACAGACCCATCCTCTCCTAGGTCCCAGGCCACATAGCAGAGGCTCCAAGCCAGCTTCCCCTTCCTACAGGGTCTCGCTGAGGCAGGGTCTGTGGTAGGACAAAGGGGGACAAGGACTGGCTTCCTAAGTTCCCAATGCTCCCAGGGAATCTTCACGGTGATTAGTCGGAGGCCTGGAGGTTTCTGGGAAACCTCTCCCAGCCTCTCTGTCTCTCTGGTGGCTGTACTCTTTGGAACCCCTTGCATTCCGTGAGGTGACCAGTTTTGTAGAGGACTCATAAGACTAAAAACACCTTGGCGCTCTTCTCTCTAGACTCTAGAAAACCTTCAAAGGTTCTAGGAAGCTCAGCTGAGGTCATTCCTCACTTTCGCCTTAAAGGATCGGCCCACAAGCCCTTCTAGGGTCCTGAAGGGGACAGCGACCCTCCTACCTGACATACAGTGGGTCTCCTGCTCACAGCCTCAATGAACAGAAGACCACAGTCCTGTCTTTGCCGTCATGCTTGGCCATCAGCCTGAACCCTCGGACTGAGGAGCTAGTCTGGCATCCTCTGACCCTCTCCCCCATCCCACACCTGAATCTTAGACCCAGGACATCCCTGGGCCTGCCGTGGTCTCATATCCAGGGCAAATATCCCTTACGTGAATACCAAGGGGTACAGTATACCACAAGGCCCCCCATCACTATGCCACACACCCTCCGCCAGCTTCCACAACCACAGGCCAGAGGGATCCAGGCCCTCGGTGGGCACTAAAAGCTGTGGAAGGCCAAGAGTCAGTGTTCAGAGATGGCCCCAGCACTTACCAGAAGCCTCTCCAGGGCAGAGTACAGCTTCCGTACTTTATGGGGGAGACGCTGTAAAGGTAAGACAGATGAGGGGCCATGACTGGGAAGAGAGAGCCACCCTAGACATCCCCCAGGAGGGCAGAGGCCTAGCCTTGGCATCGGATCCTCCTGGGCACCTACCTCCCAGGTGTGGGCCAGGCGGCTAATGGCAGAGTTGCTGAGGCCAAACATGACCGCAAAGAAAGAGTTGAGATTCTTCTGCTCCTTGAGGCTGTGAGCACAAGACCCAGGCACCCTCAGAGGAAGCAGCCATGTCCCCAGCGCTGCCTTGGCAGGGTGGGTGGCTTAGGAAGCAAAGGCTCTTGGGGACCCGGGAACAAAGAGAAGGCAGATTGGGCAACACAGTGGGCAGGGAAGGGGGTTAAGAAAGGGCGGCCACAGGGCTGGCAACACAGGGCCACTGTTTCCACACATCCCATTATCCCTCTCTACCCCATCATCTGTCCACACAGCACACTGTCCCAACAGGCACTCACTGGGCCGCCAGCTTGATGAACTTCCGGAGCAGCTGAGCCCGGGGCCCAGGAACCGAGCAGAGACAGAGCTCGGTGGCCACCCAATACTGCAGCTCATTGAAGCGCCGCATGAAGCGCTCCAGGTTTGCGGTGGTGACATCCCGCAGGTGCTGGGGCCCCAGCACGTAATGGATCAGCTCCACCTGGATGGGGCAGAGGCCTGGTCAGCGTGCTAGGCCTGGCGTCCTGGCCACGCCCCCTCCTGGTCTCCACCCCCTGCACCTGGTGTATCCTGTTGAAGAGGCTCCAGTCAAGCTCTGTCAGCTGGCCTGCCAGGTCCTTGGCGCTCACTAGGTCCAGCATCTCAGAAGAACCCAGAGTGGGCCCCAGCTGCTCCGGGTGTGGGGTCTGCCGGGGAAAGAGTGCTCAGATACGGGGAGGACCTGGGACAAAGGCTCTACCTGTGGTCAGAGGGGCAGTGGACAGACAGGGCACTTGAAGTGGAGGGGCTTGTTGGGTCTGAAAAATGGGCTCTCCTAAGGGGTCACTGTACTGACGACTCCCTCATGCTGGAGTTAGGGTAGCCCCTCTTCTCCTCCGACTCTCCACAGATGGTGAGGCCTTCCTTCTCTCTTCCCCGCGATGACACAGGAGCAGGCAGAGCCGAACACCCCCTCTCTCCTCTGTGGCCCTCCCCCCAGAACCCACCCGGCCTCCCACAGCTCCCCAGGCTCTGGCAACCTGCCCATCCCTACCAGCTCATGAACTTCCTGTGGGTCCACAACAAAGAGCCGCTCGTTGAGCCCCAGGGATGTGGCCACACCGCGGGCATCTGGCTGCAGGCCAACGACATCTGCCAAGGCAAGAGGCAGTGTTGAGGGGAGGCGGTTGGGAGGAAAGCCAGGGGCCAGCTGGAGGCCCCTGCCTATCTGAGAGTTTTCTTCTGGCAGTGGCTGAGACTCCAGACTTACAGGTAGGCGCACAGGCCTACCCCTTGACACTGCCTGCAGCACCAGAGACTGGTCAGTCTTAGGGGAGACTTCAACTTTCCTGACCCTCAGCTTCTTCTTTCCTTAATCAAAGATGGTAGGACTCACTCCAGCTACGTCCTAGGTCACTTTTTTTTTTAAATATTTTTATTTTATTTGCATTGATGTTTTTGCCTGCATGTATGTCTGTGTAAGGGTGTCAGATCTTGGAGTTAGAGACAGTTGTTAGTGTGGGTGCTGGGAATCGAACCTGGGTCCTCTGTAGAGCAGTTAGTGCTCTTAGCCACTGAGCCATCTCTCCAGCCCCCCGGGTCACTTTTAGAAGCATGGCTACTGCAAGAAAATGATGTGTATAAAAAGGCCCTCTGACAGTTAGGAAACGCCCTAGACACCTCTTGTTGCTTTCATTGACTGTGCTGGACAAGGTGTTGAGTCTTCGAGTGTCCAGGCCCTTGGCCAGTGGCTCCCAAAGTCTGGCATACAAGACTACACATGTGTCCAGAGAAGAAGCAGCTCCTTGATTTAATTAATCCATTTTCTCACCTGTTCTGTATTTCTAGTTTGTGTGTAGTTTTATAATCACATGTCGATGATGTGATTTTTATATGTAACTTATAAGCAAATGTACACTTAGGGAGATTTGTAACAGAGCATTGGTTACAGGATAGGTGTTCATCAGTGATCTGAAAATGACGGCCACACAGTAGGGTCTCAATAAACTAGACTTTGGCCAGCGGTAATTCACCAGGTAACCACGAGGGGGCAGTGCTTCCTAGAGTGGAGCACACAGGTGTGCTACAGTGTTGCTGACTCTGGGAAAGGGCTTTTATCCTCACCTTGCCATAGTTCCCTGAGGACCCCAGTTCCTGACTGTTGGGCTCTGGCCATCAGGCCCAGGCTACACTTTTCAAGGATAACAGTGGCTTTTTAACATACCAAATTCTCCAAAAGCAGGTCCTGATAACCTGGATGACCGTCTAGGGAGAGATGCGCTAGGTTCTGGGTGACATGCCTTGTGGGTTATCTGTAGTCCAACAGCTATCGCTGTGGCTCATAACATTGCAGGGATAATGCCCACTGGACAGGCAAGAAATGGAGCCACAGAGAGGCCAGGGTCCCCCAGTTGGTTAGGGGTTAAATTAGAATTCTCACATAGCTCTGGGAGTCCAGTCCGTTGTCACCATCCGGCTGATCGGTTGTAGTTTCTGTAGTAATCCGAGCACCTAACACATTGTGGCTACATCGCTGGGCCTCAGGAATGTTTGTTGTGGGGGCTGAAGAGGAGGCTCAGTGGTTAAACACACTGGGTTACTCTTCCAAAGGACCTGGGTTCGATTCCCAGCACCCACTTGGTGTCTCACAACTGTCTGGACCTCCTTCTTCAGGAGATCCAACCCCCTCTTCTTACTTTTATGGGACTCAAACATATGTATGGTGGTGCACAGACCATACATTTAGGCAAAACACCCATACTCATAAAATAAAAATTATAAAAAAGAAACTAATTTTTAAAGTGTTTGCTCTGCTAGTTGGTTTGTCAATTGACACAAGCTAGGTTCATCTTGGAAGAGGGAACCTCATTTGGGAAAAGGCCTGTGTCAGAGTGGCCAGCAGCAAGTCTGTGGGGGCATTTTCTTGATTAATGATTGATCTGGGAGGACCCAGCCTGCTGTGGGCAGTGCTACCCTGGGCAGGTGGTTCTGGGCGGTGTAAAAAAGGCTGAGCAAGCCAGGGGGAGCAAGCCAGTGAGCAGCACTCCTCCGTGGCTTCTGCTTTAGTTCCTGCCTTGAGTCTCTTCATCTCCCTTCACAATGGGCTGTAAAATGAAGCGTGTGTTTGCCTCCCCACATTTATTTTGATCATGCTCTTCATTGAAAAAAAAAAAACAGAAAGCAAACCAGGAAATCTGCTGAATGGCTTAATGAATGGGGACTATATAAACCAAAGACTAGCCACATGCTCGCTAATGCTACTAGCTCGGGGAATATGCCGGATTCTCTGAACTCTGGTTTCCATGGTTTAAAAAAAGGGGATAAAATTTCCCCTTGAGAGACGGTGATTAGGAATAAATGAGTGTCTGAGAGTGACACATATCAGACACCATTCTAAACACATTCCTCATTCAAGCCTCACAGGTGCTCTGAGGGGCACAGCATCTCATTGTCTGTGCTTTACAGGTGGTGAGCTCAAACAGAGAGTTCACACTCCCTGTGCAGGGAGTCACAGCCAGAGGAGATGTGGGAATCTTACCACAAGTGCAGGGCATGAATATAACGATCTGAATTCAAGGGCGTCAGTGTGGATCTGAGGGTGCCCTCCCAGGGTGGAGAGTTGATCCAGAGACACAACTTACCGCCTGCGGAATTGACCTTGACCAGAACCTGCCCCTTGGTCCAGTGGTCCTCATGAGCCAGAGCCGCCATCACCTCTCTCACGGAGGCCGTCACAGGCAGCTGCAGAGTCAGCACCGAGTGGTCGGGTCTGCAGATGTCGTAGGGGACTGGAGAAGAGGAAGGGCTGAGATGGGTCAGCAGGTGCCTGGTCTCCCGACCCCATGAGAAGCAAGGCCATAGATCAGTAGCAGGACTCCCATAGTCCAGAAAAGAGAATTTAAGGAGAAGTCCACCAGGCCGGTGGGAGGGCCCAGCGGGGAGCCCCAGGCCTAGGGAAGTAGCAGAGGTCCCCACCTGCCTGGCAGCTATAGCAAAGGCCCTGGGGAAGACCACACTTCTCGCCACCCCTCACGCTGGGCAAGGGAGGCAGAGACAGCAATGCTGACATCAGTCCACGCCTGGCTTGCTCAGTCACCCACCTTTGTCCCCAACTCGAATGGCGCCACCAATGCTGCTTGGGAGGGGTTCCTCCTGGCCAGGGAGCCAAACAGGTGCATTCCTGGCCTGAGACAGAAAAAAGGACAAGGCTCCAGCATTCAGAAATGTGCAGAGAGAGACAGGGAGGGCCTTTGTCACCACCTGCAGCGACCCCAAAGCGTCCTAAGGCCCAGGGGCTCTGCAGGTCAGTCATCTGAATCCAAGCTGAGGGAGGGCAGGGAGCCAGCCAGGAGGAAACACAGAGGTCAAATGCAGGCCAGTCATCCGTGGGGCGGGACAGGGGAGGGGGACGGTTCAGCCACCTCCACAAACAGGGCCAGAGCTGTTCTGGGATAAAAATGCCTGGACCCAGTTTCTTCTCTCCTTTCCCCGCTTAGCATCTGCTACAAAGTGGGGCATTGTTCTGGGCACTGAAATAGTAACAGTAGCCCTTGGAGAAAAGTATTTTTAATCCTCATTTTATGGATGTGATAAATGAGACTCAGAGAAGTTAAGTAATATGTCAAAGGTCACACAGCAACTGTTACGGGGCTAGAAACTTGCTATGCTCCCTCTATGCCCGTGTCCTCTAGGAGCTGCCCTGACAGAGTGGGCTGCCAAGACCAGATACCCTTTCTGATGGGCCGGCCTATGGTGAGTTCATCTGGCCTTGATACTCTCTCCAAATCCGGTACTTCCTCTCTGCCTCTAAATGGAGCTGGTCCCCTGCTCCCCGTCCCTTCCTAGACAGCTTCCTTGAGTCCCCACAGCGAGTGCCACAGACAATGTTCAAATGCTACCACCTGTGGGTTCACCAGGGCTCTGGCCTTAAAGTTATATTCCCTTTCCTGACTCATTGCCCCAAACTTCTTGCACCCAGGGTTCCCACATCCTGCCTTCACTACTTTCTGCAATTTTGGGTTCAGGCTGCTCCCTGCTCCCCAGACCTTGTCACTTCCTTCTGGGTTCTTCATTTAAATGAGTCCCCAGTGCCCTCTCCCCCACCCAGTATTTATTTAATGTATGTGAGTGCTCCATCTGCATGCATGCCTGCACACCAAAAGAGGGCATCAGATCTCACTACAGATAGCTGAGCTGTTGTGGTTGCTGGGAATTGAACTCTGGACCTCTGGAAGAGCAGTCAGAGCTCTTAATCACTGAGCCATCTCTCCAGCTCCCTGGATGATCTCTTAACTACTACAATAGTTCACTAAACTCCCCCCAGCCCTCAGGTCCAGCCACTCACTTCCTCTAACCGCCCTGAGCAGAGAGAGGTACACTGAGCCAGGGATAGAAGTCATCACTGTCTCCTCCAACCTCTCAACGGTTCACAGCTGGGACCGTGGGAGGAGACAATCTGGCCGCTGCCCACCATCCTGGCCTCCTCACTACCTCCAGTGCTGCCCTGGGGCCCTATCTGTCCTCAGCTTAGCCCCCGAGACACTTCTCTAAGCCCTCATGGTAAGTCAATAAGTCGGCTTTCTCCTCTTGCCTTCTCAGGCTCCATTGACTTCACACATTCACAGCTCTGGCCCACAAGTGACTGTGAACCCACGGCCACACCAATCAGCATCCAGCGTAGAGTCTGACATGCTGGCTGACTGACATTGATTCCCGGGTGTCAGTCACATGCCGTATGTAAAACAAGTAGAGATCCTGACAGGATGTGACAGACAGGAACATACCACACACCAGGAGTTCTGCAGTGTGGGAGGAACCTGGTCTCAGATGGGCAGCCAGGAGACTAGTAAAGGGTTGGATGAGGGGACCCCTGGGTATAAGGAGTTTGAGGTAACAGTCAAGTCTGCAGGTAAGAATACTTGGAAGGAACCAGAGAGGACACACAGGGATGCTCCAGATGGGGAATGGAAAGACTTCTAGGGAACTCATGTTCTGACTCTGTTCAGAACAAAGAACAAAGAGCAAGAAAGCAAAGGAGCAACCAAAGAAAGGTTCATGTAAAGGCTAAACGCTAAGGTCCTGAGGTGGGGCCAGCTTTGACGAGAGCAGACAGGAGCCAGGGAGAGCCTCCGACTAATGGGGCTGGCTGAAGCCAAGGTACTGACTTTGTTCTTCTCCAATGCATCCCACCTTCTCCCCAGTCCTTTCTCCCACTAGTCTTCAACCAGATCTTAGCACCAGCCACAACTTCACATCTGGGAGTGGGCTGGCCACCTGGACCCCCAGAACGGGCCATCATACTATCTAAGTTCCTGTAATACCATCCACCAGAAACCCTTGTGTCCCAGGAGTGAACGCAGTCACCCATCTCATCTCCCAGCTACAAATGCAGGCATGAACCATCTCCCAAAGGAATAAAAGCCCCTTAGGGAAGGGATGAAAGTGTCCCCTCAAGCTTGTAGCTCTCGAACAGGACCTCCCCTGATGCACCCATCACAGGTCAAGGACCCTCTGGACATGGAGGCAGGAGGGGCAGAGGACCAGGCAGAGGGAAAAACAAGAGGCAGGGCAGGCACCTTGATCTGAGGAGATGCATTCCCACAGCCATTTTCCAACCTGCAGAGAGGAGTGAGAGAGGAGGTGAGAGGGCCCCTAAGAACCCCTCAGGCAGGGCGCCTCTCAGGGTCAGTGGCCACAGTGCTCTGGGTCCCATCTCACCCTCCCCAGAAGCTCATAGGGATGCAGAGGGGAGGGTACACAGGGCAGGGGGCAAGATGCACTTAAGACCTGGACTGGCTTTTGTGATTTCCAGGAGAGAGGGGGAGGCAGGAGGGAGACACAGGCTCCAGGAATCTGAATGAGCTCTTGCCCTTGAACCCCAGTTGCCCCCATACATGTCTGGGGAAGCAAGGTAAATAAATGCAAAGGAGTTGATGGGCAGGATGGGTGAAAATCGGTGCCATTGTCCATACAACTGGTCAAATGGAAGATATGAACATGTGGTGCATTCAACGTATAGATGAGCCTATGAACGACTGTAGTGTGTGTGGGAATGGAATGGGGCTGACAAGAACACCTGACATAAGCCAGGTGGCCTAGACTGAAGGCCTGGATGGACCAGTGCCAGCTGCTCAGCCTGTGCTGCACAAAGAGGGCAGACGAACGTCAGTCAGAGGGTCACCTGTGATGCCGCCTCCTCTCTGGCCACTGCTCCCTCAGCAAGTTGCTAAGTCGGGCATCCCTGCTCACCAGGTCTGAGAGTTTCTGTGAAAGGCTGAACGTTAGCTCCTGGGGTGACTGCGTATCACGGGCATCCCAGCCAGCCTAGCTGCACTCCCCAGGTACCTGGAGGAAGCTGGTGGCCACGGGGTCTGAGTGGAGCATGGGGCCATACAGGGCCACCCACCGGCTGACTAGCCGCAGAATCTGCTGCCTTTTGTTGCAGACATAGGTGCTTCGTTCCTGTTCGCTGCCTCCAGCAGGCTCTGCCGGCTCCACATGGAAGGTGGGCACCAGTCAAGGGAACCACACTGTGCCACTAAGGCCACCCACCACCCCTGAGCAGAGGAAGGGCAGGGCCAGACTGGGACAGGTATGTTCAGGGCATCGGGGAGGGGTTACAACAGTCACTTGGATGGGGATTCCTTCCCTCACTGCCACACACCATTCCATCCCCTACCCACATCGCCCTGGGGCTGGAAGGGTATTGATGCAAGAGGGCAGTGAAGAGCTGGGTGCTGGGCATGAAGACACTGTGGGTCAGCAGGAAGTCACTGAGGAAGGTCTCTGTTGGGCAGGGTTAGGGATGGGAAGGAACTTCAGAAGCCAAGTCATAGCACAGCTATACGAGCAGTGGGAGCACACATCCCCAAGTACGGCACAAGCAAGGGAATCAATGCCCAGCCCCTATTACAGTGTTCTCCACCCAGACCAGGAGCACTTCCTGCCAACTGCCTACATGGACCCATCCAGCCCCTGATGAGGTCAGGCCACAGTGACCTCCTGATGACTCAGAGAAAAGTAGTGTCTTATGACTCTACCTGTTGGGTCATGAGCACTGGAATCTGGTCGCATAGCTTCCAACAGGAGTTCTAGGATCTTCTCTGGGGTGCCAGACATTACTGTATACCTAGAGGAAAAGTAGTCTGACTATGGCACGTGCCCTTCCGCCATCACTCCGTCCGCATAGACATCATACACTGATCCCATCCTGCCTCCCGATTGGCCAGCCCTATTCCATCTTGGAGAGGGGGCATTGAAACATCCCCCCAGTCCTTCAGTGCCTCCTACCCCCAGAACACAGCATAAGAAAGAGGCAAAAGGCTGAAGGTGGGGGAGGTGTGTAAGTGGGGAACAGTGGGGAGCGGTGTAGGGAGAGATGCGGTGGGCTTGTTACCGATTCCTGCCTGGGGTTGGGGGGCGGGAAGGGCCGGTGCCCTGAGAGCTCCTCTCCAGAACCAGCACCACTTTGCCATGCTCTTCCAGCCTCATGGTTTTCGCTTCCACATCCTGGAGAAGGAGCCACACAGGTGTCCAATGCCCTAGGCTCCTTTTCCGATCTCCTGTATCACCTCCCTTCCAAACCCCGAGCCTGCAGGCTCCTGAGGCCCCTCAGTTCTTCTCAAGACTCCTCTTTATCAGACTTCCCAACCTCAACCCCTCCACAGACCCAAATCCCAGCCTCTGCCACCCACCAGTCCCTGGTCTCTCACACCAAACTGAGGGTGTCCACTCCCAGCCGGATCCCAAGTCTGCTTACAAGCTCTCACGGACATCAGTGACCCTGGGCCGCACCACACCATGTCCTCACCCCCCACCCCCATGGCACCTTGATGATGCGGTTGAAGTCCTGCTTGTCCACACGCAGAAAGTGACAGTTATTTTCCCGAAGGATAATGGTGGCTGCCCGAGGTGCGTCGTTCACCAGAGCCAGCTGTCCAAAGTCATCTCCCTCGTGCAATGTGGTCACCAGCCCCTGAAGCCAGGACTCAGTCACAGCCCACCCTAGCACCAGCCCCTGTTGGGATAGACTCAGACACATCTGTGGGATCAGCAGCCTTGGGACTATCAAAAGGAGTGTCCGTGAGGACATGAAGCAAAGAGCATTGACACTCCAGGGGACTGTGCTGGGCTAGAGGGAGAACTTACCTTGCCGTGGGTCACCACATTGACAGATCCCTTCCAGATGATGTACCACGAGGTGCCCTTGTCCCCCTGGCTAAACACTGACAGAAGCACAGATCACATCAGTCCTCTTCTGTCACCCACCACTGCCCCATGGCCCCTGACCCTGTGGCCAACCCGACTTACACACAGTCCCTGCCTTGCTGTGTGGTTCAAAGAGCAGAACAGCAGCTAATTCCCGCTTCACCTAGGGGTGGGAGAAGGAAGATCAACAGTGTCAACCCAGAGAGAAGAGAGTCAGGCTGAGAGAGAGGGCAAGTCCAAAGACAAGGCTGCTTATCTTTGGGATGTTCCAGAGACAACGTAAAGAGAAAAAAATGGCCAAAGAAGTGGGGAAAGATTCAGACTGAAGGCTAACAGTAAGAAATTTGGTAGGGGGCTGGAGAGATGGCTCAGTGGTTAAGAGCATTGCCTGCTCTTCCAAAGGTTCTGAGTTCAATTCCCAGCAACCACATGGTGGCTCACAACCATCTGTAATGAGGTCTGGTGCCCTCTTCTGGCCTGCAGACATACACGCAGACAGAAAGAATATTGTATACATAATAAATAAATATTAAAAAAGAAAAGAAAAGAAATTTGGTAGAGAGACTGGAGAGATGGCTCAATGGCTAAGGGCACTGGATGCTCTTCCAGAGGATCTGTGTTTGATTCCCAGCATCCAGATGGCAGCTCACAGCCATCTGTAACCAGCCAGTTCCAGGGGATCCAGTGCTCTTTTCTAGACTCCATAGGCACCAGGCATGCATGGTTTATACAGACATACATGTGAGCAAAATATCCATACACATAAAATAATAAAATAATTTTAAAATTGTAATAAAAAGGAGGGAGAAAAAAAGAAGCCAAAGTGTGTGGTGCATGCCTGTTACCCACGCACTCTGAGTTGGAAGCCAGGCTGATCTACAAAACGAGTTCCAGGACAGCCAGAGCTGTTACACAGAGAAACTCTGACTCAAAAAACAAACAAACAAAACAAAAACAAAAGGTAGGGGAAATTTAAAAAAATGAAAAAAAAGAAGCCAGGCAGTGGTGGTGCACACCTTTAATCCCAGCACTTAGGAGGCAGAGGCAGGCGGATCTCTGTGAGTTTGAGGCCAGCCTGGTCTACAGAGCGAGTTCCAGGGCAGGCTCCAAAGCTACAGAGAAACCCTGTCTCGAAAAAACCAAAACCAACCAACCAAACAAATAAAATTAGAGAGAGAGAGGAGAGAGAGAGAGAGAGAGAGAGAGAGAAGAAATCTTCAAGCCATAGGCTTGAAAAGGTGGAAACTGTTACACACACACACACACACACACACACACACACACACGCCCCATCCAGCAGTAGGCGTAGGAGCCCGGGGGCTCCCAGAGGAAGAGGTCTAGCTAAGGGCAAGCCCGTGTGTGTACTGACGGAGTTGGAGAGGTGGGCCACTGCCTTGATGTGCAGTAGCTCTTCGAAGATGAGGTCCAGCTCTTCATCTGTCCGCTGACCTGGGCTGGAGGAGCAGAGGAAGTCCTGAGAACTGGGGCCACAGCCAGAGAAGAGCTACCCCACCTGCCTGCTGGGGCCCGGGACCTGGAGCCAGATGGCAACTCCGCAACTATCAGTCAATCCACTGTTATCAATAACAGGCTTTGTGGGTGAGGCCCAGGTCCCGGGCACTGTGCTAGCACCTTTCACGCACTATTTCATTCCATGCTCAAACTATGATGTGGGCACTGCTATCCTCACTTGACAGAAGAGGAAGTTGGCTGAAGAGGCCCAAGGTCACCCGGTGAGTAGCTGGTTGGGCTAGAGGTTGAACCCTGACTCAGTCAAAACTCCACACCCTCTGTCAGTAGGGAGGGGGTCTTTAGACCCTCTGGCCCAACACCCACAGGAATAGAAGGAGAAACAGCCTAGGATGTGGGGGCTGAAGTCACATGGCAAGTCCAATGAGAGCTGAGTTCAGGCTTCTACTCCTGCCCAGGTTCTCTCTCCCAGGTGAAAGTGAGCGCCTTTGGGGTATAACTGAAGGCCACATGAAAGTGGGGTGGGGACAGAGGGCAGGGCTTTTTACTCACGGCTTCCGGAGGGCCACGGTGAGTAAGGCATCAGGCCCTCGCTGCGAGAGCAGAGCCATTGCCTCAACAAGCTCCTCTTCCATGTCATGAGTTCCCGCGGGTTCTGGCTCTGGTCCAGGGAACCTATAGAATTGGGCATCTCGGTCCTGGAAGGTCCAGTCATGTTTCACTGGGAAGCCAAGACCCAGGAAAGGCAGAGAAGAGAAAATGAGGCCAGGTATTGGACTTCATACGAAAACCCTCACCATGCCTTATAGCCCCTCCAGACCAGAGCTCCCAACAGAGTCCAGTCCTCAGGTCAGCCCTCCCTACCCCCACCCAGTCCTAGTGCCCAATCTGAGCTCAGCTCACCATGGTAAAGGGCACCCTCATCCAGCAACACCTGGCAGACACCCACAGCTTGGCTCCGTGAATGGACGCCAAGCCCCAGAGACAAGATCACATCCACCAGCTCCCGGCCGGAGCAGCATTGCCTGTGGGAAATGGAAGAAGGCCAGACAATCAAAGTGGGAGTGAGCAGGATCTCTATCCAAAGTCACCATCCGGGCCCAAGCCCAGTTCTTCCCCTACAAAGCGGGGCTGAGCCCCGATGCCTGGAGGAGAGCAGGGATGGAAACTGCCAGGGTAACCATCAAGGGCAGGCAGGAGCCACACTTGCTGCTCACCGGTATAGTCGGAGATGGTATTTTCTGTCTCGGATGAGGGTAGGGTAGGTGGCCAGGAGATGACGGTGGAGGAGCTTCCCTGCCTTGAGCACGCGCTCGGTGGTGGCCTGGGATGAAGTGGGGGTGGTGGCAAACTTAGGCCTGAACCCCGCAGCCTGCTGCCCCCTCCCAGTTCTGCTTTCCTCTGCTCAGTACCTGCTCCAGGCTCACACTGAAGTCCAGGGACTCCTCACTGTTGGTGAGCGGTGTCTGAGGGCAGCAGGGAGAATTTGCAGATCAGAGAGAGGGAAGTGGGACCCGTTCCTGCCTTTCTCCCTTCTTCCCTTGCCTGAGTCTCGGCCTCAATGCATCCAAGAGCCTTTAGCCATAAATACGCAGGTGCTGCTTGCCCAGTGTGCCTGTTCCCCATGCTGCTGCCCCTCTCAGACGACGGTTTTATCCCACACTGGTGTGCTGCGGGTGATAGCCCCTAAAACCACCTCCGCTGCTCACCCAGGGTCCACCCATGCTCAGGCTACCATGCAAACAGGCCCTGTGTGTGGTTGTGGGAGTGACGCTGAAGGAAGTTGGAACACATGATACAAGATTCATGAAAGGCCAGGGCACGAACATCTTGGGAGGCCTGGGAACACCAGCTCCCAGCTGGGACTATAGGCTTGACCCCCAGCTCAGCTCCGTGCCCGAACACAGGGCACTCTGGAGGGCTGTGGCTCACTTAATGAACACATAAACCCTGGAGCCAGACTCTGCACTGATGGTGCGATCCTGAACAACAGCTCTATATACGAAATCTCTAAAGAGCAAGTCGCAGAAACCCACGAGCTTTCGGCAGGCCCCGTCGGTCGGCACAGATTCCTTGTTTAACCATTGCTGTGCCTATGGCTGTGCTTTTATGGTAGCTCCCATTATGCAGTGAGGCGCAGGTGGGGCTGTGGCTGGAAGGCTTGTTTCTTTCTAGGAGATACTGTAGGCCACAGCCCTCTAAGGGAGGGTAAAGCCTTGGCAACCCATAAGACTGACTTACCATAGAAACACAGGTTAACAAGGGTCTTGGTAGCTTTGTTGCCACCAGGGACTCCTGTACCCTGGCATATCACCACAAAGACCCCTCACAACCCTCTTTTCCAACCACCTGAAAACGGAGAGTTTATGAACAGCTCTGTGCCCTGCTGTCTGTGAGACCTCAAAGGCACCCCTTTCAGCCCACAAAGCACGTCTACCTCCCTGATAGCACTGCATCCTAGGTGTGGTAGGCAGAGTAGGGAATTATGGGTCAACAAGTCTTGAGGTGAATTCGAGTACCCCACATAAGGCAGCCATGCGCGCACAGGACTGCTAGCCAGTCACGGGTAGGCTGGAGCTCCCGCCCAAATGGTTTCCTTACCAGTCCCATTCCAGCCATCTTACCTGCCAGAACCCAAGGACCTGGAAAAGCACTGGCTAGGGAGCTAGAATCCAAGTCCTCTCCTGGAGACTAGCAGGTCTCAGGCACAGACATATTGTTACTATACCCAGGCAAAGGCCTGGAGGTCTGGCATGGGTGCCTAGCCCAGCATGGAGCGGAAGTCACTAGGTGTCCCAAGGGTAGCCCTGCCCGGGTCATGGGGGCCCAGACCAGTGCCAGACACACAGCCCTAGAGATTTAAGGACAGGAAATGCGGAGGAGGAGCCAGGAAGGGAGGAAGGGCAGGAATGCTATCCAGCCAGGCCCTGTGTTGGAACAAACAGTGCCCGAGTGCTAATGACTTCTTGTTATTCATGTCAAAATGCCCAAGTCACCCTAGTTCCTGCCCCAGCTCCCTTTGGTACCTACAGTCCAGGCTCTAGCGTGAGCTCTGTTACTGTTGGTAGATTTATTTGTGTGTGTTTGTGTGTGTGTGTGCATGTGTGTGTTGTGTATGTGTATGCACGTGCTTATAGAAGGTAGAAGAGGGTATTAGAGTCCCTGGAACTAACTGGAGTTACAGGTCATTGTGAGACACTTGACAGGGTTACTCGGGATCAAACTCAGGGTCTCTGCATGATCAGCAGATGCTCTTATCCACAGAGCCATCTCTTCAGTCTCCGGTGGTGGTTGTATCTCTTCAGTCTCTGGTTGTTGTTGCTGTTGCTGCTGTTTTGAGGCAAGGTCGCTTGCAGCCCAGGCTAAAGTCACTAAGTAGCTGCAGATAACCTTGAACTTCTGATCTCCTCGCCTCACTTCCTCAGTGCTAGGATATCAAGAATTGCCACTTTATAGGCTCGAGCATGCTAAGCCCGCACTCTACCCACTAAGCTCCATCCCTTAGCCAACCCTTCCTGGAATTATCCTGACCTAGAGGCCACATGACCAAGCTGGTCACTTCCTGCCCTACCCCAAGGGACGGGCATGGGAGTCTGAGGGCAGTAGCCTGAGAGTGCAACCCTAAGGCATGTGATCTTACTAAAAAAGCACCAGAGCCCGCAGAGCCTACGGTCCCACAGTTGCTCAGAAAGGGGTGATTCAGGTGTCGTCTCCATGTGAAGCAGGTGTTTGCATTCTATTTCACAGCCAGAAAAAGATTGCATAACCCACGCTAACAGGTGGCAAATAGCATTCACACCAGAGCCTGTCTGAGTCCACAGCCCCCGCATAGATAGCCCCACCGTAATCTCTCGTGAGTTCAACCCCTGGACTTCCTCCGGGCAGGTCACAGCCACAGAAACGGCAGAGGCATTCTGCCGTCAGGAGCAAGGGACACTCTTGTTAACATAGCCCTTCTGTGCCCCTTCAATGCTCTTGTGAATGCGGACCTTGGGGACTTGGGAGAGAACTATGAATGAGCAGTAGTGGGCACCTGTGTGGCCACTGGAGCCAGATGCCTGAGCTCAAATGCTGCTTTCTGCATGGCAGCCAGGGTGCATGTGACCTTATGCTGACTTAAGTTCTCTGTGGACCAACTTCTTGTCCGTGAAGGAGAAACCTATCCCAGGGAGTTATTATTGTATTATTAAAAAAGGCTAATAATCTCAAGGCCGTGGAATGGTCCCTGCCTTGCAGCCACTGCTCAGCAAGAGTTAATGCAGTAAGCCAGCACTCTACTTCTTCTGTGTACTTTCCTACTAACGTGGGATTCCCCGCTGCATGCTGTGAATATGTTTTATCACCATTGGTTAATAAAGAAGCTACTTTGGGCCTGTGGCAGGGAAGACTAGAGCAAGGGGAGAGGGAACTAAACTGAATACTGAGAGAAAGAAGGCGGAGTCAGAGAGATGTCACATAGCCACCGAAAGAGGCAGATACCAGACAGAACTTTACCTGGTAAGCCACAACCTTGTGGTGCTACACAAAGTAATAGAAATGGCTTCATTTAAGATGTAAGAGTTAGCTAAAAGTATGCATAAGCTATTGGTCAAGCAGTGTTGTAATTAATATAGTTTCTGCATAATTATTTCGGGTCTGGGTGGCTGGGAAGCAAACAAGCAGCCTCTGCCAACATCCTACTGCCTTGACATACGGGCTATAGCTGGCCCTGGTCTTGATCTCATGACCCTTGAGTATCATTTTGAGGTTCTCAATTGGAAAATAATGACTGGCGTGGGTCATCAGACCCTCAGCCCTTGCCTAATAATGCTTCTCAGCTGAGAGCAGGAGGGATTTGAGGTGGCAGAGGGGTGCTGGCACTAGTCTGATGGCCAGCCCCGCCCTCCATCTCCATCACTAAGAATCAGAGCTTGGCTGGAAGGACAGTCAGGGAACCAGACAGCGTGGAAATCCACCAGACCAGTTCCTTTGGACATGTCTAAAGTCCTAGGCCAGGCTGTGCACAGGGCAGGGACAGAGAGCGGGTCAGAGCTACTCTGTAGGTGGCTCTTGGGTACAAAGCCCAGTTCAGCCACTGGGCAGCTGTGCAGCCCTTCTCCTGCTGCTTGACCTCTCTGTGCCTCCCTTTTCACATCCGTAGGACGAAACCATTAGCACTGACCCCACTAGGCTGTTGTGAGCATATTGAATGCAACAATAATGAACTGTTAAAGGGCATGGGGCATACGTATTGTGATCTTACACTATATTTGGATGGATTTGTTTTGGGAACAGAGACACTTACCCCCAAACTGTCATATGAATGGAAGAAACATTCCAGTTTTGCTTGAGTCTGTGGGGCCCACCCATGGTCACCCCGATCTTTCTCCTGTTCCCACATATAGTACAAGACCTCATCTCCCCCTCGTATTTTTCAAAAGTGCCCTTTACCCCCTGGCTGTACTGACTTAGCCATAGTTGGTAAGTCCTCTCTGCGTTAACCGTGGTCTGGTCTCCAATGAACTCTTCTTCAGGCTAACCCACTTTCCCCCGGGCTTTTTGAAGAGGTGGGTGTAGCGTGAACAACCCAGCCCTGTCTCTTGGGCTCTGGGCTCACCTTCTTTTCTCCCTACGTGCACACACCCTGCTGGGACTTGTTCCCCCACAGGAACACTTCATGAGTCAAAGCAGCCTTAAGAGCGTCAAGAGGTGCCGCCGCGAAGACAGCCAAGGAGCTCCCACACACACGCGGTAGACTGGACCTACCTCACTGCACCCCTCAAGGGCAAGCATGGTAGAGAGCTGGGGGACAACATTCTCTAGTCCTAAACACTTTAGTCACCAGCCCTCTCCCACTTCTCCCGTGAATGGCAGAGTTGGGCCTGCTTCTGAACCTTTGACACCGTTTACAGTCCAGCAACCCTTATTTTTACGTTTCCAGCCTCCTGTGCAAGCTGGTCCTTCCTTTCTGAGGTCTTAGGGGAGCTAGGAGACTGACCGTCGACTTCCTTCACCCTCTCCCTGACTTTGGATCCCAAGAGAGTCCCCAGTGACCTCATTGTCCTGGTAACTGACCTTTTCCTACCTCCTACCTAGCTTCTCCAAGCTGGGAAGGGGACAGGAAATGCAAGAGTAATTATAGCCTGAAGGGGAAGGCCGGAGGGAGGTTCCAGAGGCTAGATCCCAGCAGGAACTACCGCCCTGCCGTGACCGAGCCTGAGCAGGGACGTGGGGTAGAACCAGTGCTCCTCCCACCCTTTTAGAAAAATCCAGGGAGAGAAGGGCAAGTCGGGACTGGACTCCAGTGCAGGGGGTCTTCTCCTCTAGACACACCTGGGGCTATCTCAACCCAGCCCCCTTTATTAGAAATGACAGTGGTGTTTGGATAAGGTAGGGAAAGGGGGCAGTGGTGATGATTTTACTCAAAGGGACTTGTTGGTGAGAAATTACCCTTTCCAAGTTTGTTGCCCACTCCTGCTTTCTCTCCACCCTCTACTCTACCCCTTGCCCCAACAAACACAAACACACACACACACATACACCACCCTCCACTCAGTACCCTCTGCCCCTACACACACACACACACACACACACACACACACACGCCACCCTCCACTCAGTACTTTTGCCCCTACACACACACACATGCCACCCTCCACTCAGTACCTTCTGCCCCTACACACACACACACACACACACACACACACACACGTATACACCGCTTACAGACAGGACTGTTAAGCCTGGTGGTTGGGAAGAGAGAAAAGTATCCTGGGGACTGGCTTCTCTACCGTGTCCCCCCTCCAGCCCCCATCCTTCCCACTCCCTTCCTTCAGCAGACATTCTCCACTCCGAAACCTCTTCAGTCCCTTGTGGCCAGGTGCCAAGCTTTAGCTACACAAATGCCTCACCCCAGGAGCAAAAACAGAATCAGCCCGGTTCAATTGTTCACCAAAGGAGACCGTTGCCACAGTGATGTGTCCAGAACAGTAACCAAGCTAATTTCACCCCCACTTGACCTGGCCCTACATCTCCCACTGCCACACAGAAAGAAATCACAACACATAAGTCCATGCCTGGTACAAGAAGGTGATGGATAAAGGATAAAGCCCTAACGGAGGGGGGGGGCAGATCAGCACACCACATACACAGGCTCTGATTATGTGGTCTGCCACACATACCAACTCCAAGCTGCCCTGCCAAATGTTTTACTCCGCACCCCTAGAGCAAGCTGCCTGGCCCACCAGCACTGAAGTCCAGACTCTTCCAGCCCTGGTCCAGACTGGGTAGATGGAGGGTACTCACCCAGCGAAGTCCCTGGATGCAGCTGGGCCGCCTGTGTTCGAACACCAGCTGGTAAGAGCAGCACCGGGGACGGTGCATTCTTTTCAGCACCATATTGAGCAGCGTGCCCTCTGGAACCACGTCAGGGAGACTTCCCACCTGCGGTGCCCCCACAGCTGGACTCTCCACCACAGCTGGGCCCACCTGCCAGTGGTTCTCACCTGGCCAGCTGACCTGTGATGTAAGGAAAAAAGTGGACAGCCATCGGCTGGAGAAGCTGGATCTCCACACTACACCACGTTTAGCGTGCTCTGCACTTGGACTGGTCAGGCGGAGGTGCAGCAAGCCTGCCAGGAGCCGGGGGAGGGACAGGAAGACCTGCCCCGGGTCCTGCTGGCTTGGCGCACCTAGGGGTCTCCAGCTGGCTCACAAAGATGGGGCCCTTCTCAGTCCTCCCTGGAATTGTGCCTCGCCTCACTGCCCATGTCCTGCAGGCATGTCCACCTCTCCCGGCTTGAGGCTGTACACACACTAGATCCCCAGAAGCAGCTTAGCCTCAAACTCTCCTCCCCACCACCTTCTCCCACCCAAACTCCCCACGTGTCGGCTTCCTCTCCCGCCCTTTTCAGCAGCTTTCTTTGGCCCTGACCCGGGCTCCACCTTACCCACCTTCATGTTTCTTCTCCAGCTCACACAGCGGTGCACGCTCTAGCAAGAGGCTGGAGGATCCCTGGAGCGCAGCGCTCCAGGGCAGCTCCAACCTGGAATGCTGGAGGGGTGTGGGTGCGAGCGACACCCGGGCGGCAGCGAAGGGCCAGTTCCCAGCAGGACAGGTTGTCTGGAGGAGCAAGATGCAGGGCTAGGCAAAGGGGCTCGATCTGGGTGAGTAGAGGTCTGAGAGGAGTGGGGAACCCCACCCCTCCCCAAAGACTAAGAACTCTGAGCCTTCTCCTCGGTTCCAGATGTAAGCGCCAGCTGGCACAGGGCGCTCAAGCGAAGCTGCAGCTGGCACTGATCCGGGCGGGAGCTGTCACACCCCCTGCGCTGCCCGCCCCTTCCCCTCCCCTGGACAGGCCGAGGGGGCGGGGAAGAGGCACAGGCTTGACGGTAGGGGTGCTCATAGGGGAAGGGGCCGGACCCACAGTCGATGGAGTCCCTACCCGGGACTACGTCAGTGGGTTCAGGCTCCGGACCCGAAGCCCCAGCGGGTAGGAAGTGCCTTAGGGTGAATGCCCCAGTCTCAGCCCGGGCGCCGGGTTAGGGGCAGTAAAGGCTGCACCCGCCGCCACGTGGCCAGGAGGAGAAATGCAAACAAGGAAACTAGGGAAGGGGGAGAGAGTGAGTCATGGCCGCCCCACCCGAGAGGGAAATCCGGGCTGGGGCTGCTTCCTGACCAGGGGCATCCGGCCTCCCGTTTGGGTTCAGGGTCTCCAGCAATCTTCTTGTGGGGGAATCCCGCTGTCTGGCTTCCCACATTTGCCCTCCCAATCGCGCGGGTTGGGAAGTTAAGGCTGGAGGGGAGGGACCATATTCCAGACGGAGAGAGGGACGAGCAGATGCATAGATTGTGCCAGGGTTTAGATTTATGGTAGAGTTTCAAAGACAGGCTGGACTTTAAAGGGTCACGCCTCTCACTCCCTCCCCTCCCCCCGGGCTCCCCTATGCCGGGCTAGGTAAAAGCCGAGGCCCCACATCTGTCTGGGCCTCATTTCTAGTGCCACACAGATGGCGGGCACTTCGTCTCACTCATGCCTGCTTCCGAGTGGACAGAGACTGTGACCTGAGACGGCGATTTCCGTGGCGCCCGATAATTGCTCAGGACATTAATGAGGGTTTAGAAGGCACAGGCCTCGCCCCCAGCGTTCAAGGACTCTTCCCTTAGTCCATTCTCTTCTCCTTTCCCACTGCTTGGGGAAGATAAATCTAGCACAGCTAAGTTCATTTCCACCCAGAACTGATTTCTTGATGCGAGAATTTTAATCATCATTAAAAAACCCGAATTTTAATGCGTGTGTGTCTCAACAGTTTTTCTCTCCCAGGGGCGTTTTAGCAAGAACGTTTTAACTCCTCCAATTCTGATACCATCTGACTGGCATGAAATGGAAAATCCGTACTTTGAACAAACACTCCAGGTCGTCTGTGGCTCCCACCCTTTGAGACACGCTAGTGAGGGTTTCACTGCTCCTCCGAGGAAAGAAGGGAACTTGGGAAGGAGTCCTGCCCACCACTCAAGTTCTTAGAACTTGGAATAATGACTTGGAAACTTGGCCTAAAAGGATAAGAAATACATAGTCTCAGGAATGTTGGGGGGCAGGGATTGTGGTTGGGGGTGCCGTGATGGCACTCAGGATACCGGATCTGGCTTAGAAGGTCTTGCAGAAGAGTTCCCTGGAACTGGCTGTGGAGTAGGAAAGTCCCTGTTTCCTACTCCCGTTGCCCCACTTAGGGCAGGAGGGAACAATGCCGAGAGACTAGGCAGAACACCTGCTTACCTGTTGATCTAACCATGTGCCTGACCCTGCTTCCTATGTAGGGACGATCCCATCCAGGCTGTCTGGCTCTGCTTTACCTAAGGGGGAAAGCTCTGGGTACCTTTAGAGGTATTTTAGAGACAAGATGCACCTTGATTGAGGACACCATGATCCCCATAGACCACTGCCCCTCAGTGAATGAAAAGACCATGTGGCCTGAGAGTCACATTCACCCTTCCTGACTGGCATACAGTGCAACATGCCCCTGTCGCCACGCCTTCTCCTTGAGGGCCTGGACCTTCAAACTGGGACTCCAACCCTTTCCTATGCTGCTTTTGTTTGTCACGGCAGGGAGGAAAGTAGTTAATACACAGGAAGCACCTGAGAAAGTCATTCAAACGGCAGCAATGATTGTCCCAAACGCACTGGCCCCAGCTTGCTCTCATTCCCTCTGTCCTAGGAAGCCACAATGCTGGCTTTTGTGCTTACCTAGTCAGCAGCGACCTGAGCCACCAAAAATAATTAGACAGCCCTTCTTGGCAGGAGTCAGGTTTCCTGTCGCCTGCCCATGCAGTGGGTCCTGGGATTGATAGACGGGACCTAGCCAGTGCAATTACTGCTCCTTAGATGTTCCACTGAGGCTGAGGGCCATGGGACAGGGAAGGATGTCTGAAGAAGACATCCGGGCAGATGGGCCATCTTGGAGGTGAGCATGCCATGCCTGTTGCAGCATCCACCCTCCCCAACTGCCATTACATGCCTGGTAGGTGCCTTAGACAGAGAAATAATAATTAAAGGTAACAGGCACTATGTCCTGTTTTTAATACTTCATTTATATTCTCTTAATTGTCACAACAACCCTGTGAAATGACATTACCATTATCCCATTTTTCAGATGAGGAAGCTGACGCTCCAAGATGTTACATAATGTTCTCAAGACCTTCCATCTCGAAAGTGCTGGAGCCCTGAGGGATTCTACCCAAAGGGTCATTGAATCTGTGTAGTCCTACTCTAGAAACACTAGGAAAGCTCCTACAAATACAAAAGCCCGCATCAGGAGCCATGCTCCCAACCCTGCCCATTCTGGCTCTGGAGGTCAGAGAGGACCAGACAAGGGATGTGAGGGGCACATCAAATCCACTTGATACGGGCTGTCCCTTCAAGTGAGCTTCTGCCAGAATACAGGTCCCCTAGGACCCGCTGTCTCTCAGGTATATGGTGGTTCTTCTGGTGTCTAGGCATGGAGGTAGGAAAGCCTAGGGGGTGCTGAGAACCAGGCTTTGACTCTGGACTGTGTCTCTTCCAGCTAGGCCTCTTGGCTGACTTTGCACACACCGAGCCCACAGCTTCCTGGATTTCTGCTGGAACCTTAAACGTGCCCAACACTCTCCTCCTGCCTCAGGGGGCTCCACGTGCCCAACACTCTCTTCCTGCCTCCTCCAGTCAGCTTTGCCTCCCAGCTCCGGGAGTCCTGCCAGCGCCTAAGCAAGAAACCTGTAAGGTAGTGCCCTTCTCCTACAGCCAATCAGGCACCTAGGCGGTTGGTTCAGCCAATAACACGCCTCTCCTTTCCTCACTGCTGCTGCTACCACCCAGAGGTGGCAGCCCACTCATCCTAGTGTTCGCTCTCTCAGAAAAACCGCTTTTCTTTCCTTACACCTTTGATTTGCATCTGAGGGAACTGGAGCACAGAAAGGTGAAGTAATTTACCCAAGGTCACACTGACAGCAAACTGTAGAGCCATACTCGGGCGCCTAATGACAGCCCGTGTTCCTATCTACTGTCAACCACCTCTCCCATCCCTGATTGTTGCCTCTGCCGCACCTCCCATCATCCTCTCAGTGTGGTGCCTCAGCATTCATAACAATCTTGAATTCGTTTGACATTGACCGGAGTTGTCAGGAACTGTGCTGTAGAACCAGGTAGCTGATGCCACCCCCAAACTCTGGGCACAGGCTGGTGGGGTAGCCCAGCTGACAGAGTGCTGGCCTAACATGCCCAAAGCTCCAGAATCCATCGCCAGCAGCGAATAAATGAGTATTGGTAAATGTAATTCCAGCCCTGGAGACGTGGGGGCAAGAGAATAAGGGGGTCATCAGCTATATAGCAAGTTCAACGTCAGCCTGGACTACAAGAGACTGCCAGAGAGAGGGTGGGGGGAGGGAGGGAGAGGGAAGAGAGAGAGAGAGAGAGAAAGAGAGAGAGAGAGAGTCAGATAAAACCCAACCAACCAAGACTTTGGGAATATAACGTCCAGTGGGGTTATCTTTCCGTCTCCCTCGCCAGCACAGTATGTGGCATAAATAGTTGCTGGCGTCGTGATTCTAGATGGAGATGAAGTCAAGGGGAACTCTGGAAATCAGATGCCCGCCTACTGCGGACCTGGACCCGCACTGTGCAGATGTGGGTCAGTGAGAAGCGTTGGTCCTGTCGGTTTATTTTCAAGGTGTTGCCTTCCTCCACATTCCTTATTCCTTCACAGGCTCTCATCACAGCATTGGAGGTGGAAGAAGCTGTTAACGCGTGGCCTTCAGTGGAACTGCAGAAAAGAGGCAGTTTGGAGAGTGACCTGCAATAAACAGCAGAGAAGTTAAGGTCTGATGCCAGCCTTAACTGGACTTCTACCTTGGCTAGAACTAAGCAGTTATGGGGAAAGATAAAGACAAGCACCCAGCCCCCGCCCCCCCTGTCTGGACTCTGCCTCTGGGCTCCGGAAAGTCCTCTAAATCTCTTCCTAGGCTCCTTCTCCAAGTAGTGGTTCCAGTTCAGTTACTCCTCTCCTCTCCTGCCCATTCCTGGGGTGGGGGCAAAGGCAGGGAGCTGGAATGTTGATGGGCACGAAGCCAAACCTTCCTAGGACTAACAGGTCAGAACTGGTCACTCATAGGCCACTTTGGACAGGGATGTGAGCAGAAGAAGGCTGGTCTCTGCCTTCCCTAAGTTGGGGAAATGAGCAAGCAGGGTTTACAGGCGGGTCTGAGGACTAGCAGGGATCTTACTGGAACATGAATAGGGACATGCTTCCTGCTGGTGCTCAAGATCCCGGTGGGTGGCAGAGGGGCAAAGAAACACTCTCTGAAAAGACCTGAGGTGTTGACCAACGGGTGCAGAGCTGGTGGGAGGAGACAGGCTCACAGAAGGCATAAGGCGAAGTCTAGAAGGGCCTGCAGCAGAGAGCAAAACACATCAGATAGCCTGGCTTCTGCTTCTCTAGGAGGAGGGGAGACAGACAAAGGGACAGACACACATACACACACACGCACATGAGCGCAAGAGACGTCAAATGTCCTGGAGACATCCCATTTGACCTTGGTCAGTACTCAGAAATGGCTACTCCAGTTGGGACTCGCTTTCCCCTCCTTCCAGTACCTTCTGCCTTCCTCAGCTAAAATCTCCCCATGGAAGACCACCTGGCCATCTGCAGACACCACTCCTCCCAGGGACCCTCTTCCAGTGTTCCCATACTTTACTAACCTGTTTCCATCCTCACCTATGCTGAGCCTTTGGACTCTGTCCAGCCCTCCCTGATACCTGCTTTTGGATACTGGCAAGGTGGTGGCCACAGGAGCCCGGGAGAGAAGTCCTGTTGGGTAGGCCTCCTGCATCCCAGGCCTGACTGCTGGCTTGCCCCAGCTGTCCTGAGTACTGGCTAGGGTGAAGGAGGGAGGAATAGGGGAAGGAGCGCAGCTTTGCATTTAGGCCAGGAATAGAATCTCTCTCCAGCATCAGACCTGCCCC